GATGCTGTTTCTGCTGATGATGATGATGATGATGATGATGATGATGATGATGATGATGATGATGATGCCCCGTGGACATCCGCGAGGCACAGCCGTCGGGTCGCACATCTCAGGGCAGCTCGGAGTTGCCCCGAAAAGGGATTCGACGGAGCTACCTAGGTCACCCCCCCGGGGGCGCGAAGATAATGGCGTTTCGCGCATCGCGACGTGGGTCGGACAGGCACCCTTCTCCAGGGCGGCGGCGCGAGGGCGCGAAGACAACCGTGCGTCGCGCATCGCGGGGCGCGATGCTCGAAGCTAGGCGACCTAGATAGTAGATCCCCACCGTTTTCTCCCTTGAGTTCTCCTCCCATCCATCTCCTTCTCCTTCTCCCTCTCCTCCTCCTCCTCCTCCTCCTCCTCCTCCTCCTCCTCCTCCTCCTCCTCCTCCTCCTCCTCTTCCTCCTCCTCGCGAACTCGTCCGACGTGGCGGTGTTCAGGACATCCGGGGGCGGACAGGTTTGTGGTGGGGACGGGGGGGAAAGGGCTGGGCGACGGGGTGGGGGGAAGGGTCGCTGCCGCCGCCGAAGATAGGGAGGAGGGAAGGATTGAGCGACCCAATGAGGCTCGCACCCGACCCCGATCTCAGCCCGCGCGGTGGCAGCGCAGCACGAGACGTCGTTGACAAGTTTTTGGCTGGTGCCCTCAGGCACCCTGCAAGACTCTTCTTGCTTTGGGGCCCGCCTTCGGGGCCAGCTGAGGGCCCCCCATCGAAGTTTGGATTCAGCGGGTTTTAGCCCACGCAGGGAGTTAGAGAGCAGCTGCGCCTCATGTGAGGCTTCCAGTTTTGTTTTCCTCCGTCTGACTTGCAGTCCCCAGCGTTTCTTCGTCTTGGTCCTTCTCCTCCTCCTCCTCCTCCTCCTCCTCCTCATCATCATCATCATCATCATCATCATCATCATCCTCATGATGATCATCATCATCATCACCACCACCACCACCACCACCATCATCATCATCATCATCATCATCATCATCATCATCATCATCATCACCATCATCATCATCATCTTCATCATCTTCATCATCTTCATCTTCATCTTCATCATCGTCATCATCATCATCATCATCATCATCATCATCATCATCATCATCATCATCATCATCATCCTGCTTCTCCTCCTCCTCCTCCTCCTCCTCGTTCCTCGCCCTTCGCTCCTCGCTCGCGGGCCCGCGGTGCGGCCAGCCTCAGCCGCCCTGTGCTGCAAAAGGGCCCTCTCCGAAGGGCCTCCTCAGGGTGTGCGACTGACTACAGAATCCCTCCCTCTCTCTCTCTTCTCTCCCTTTCGTGGCGTGCGATCCTCGCTCCTCCTCAATCCTCGCTCCTCCTGGCTCCTCCTCTTCCTCCGCCCGCGAGCAGCGTTCAACGGAGCTACCCCGTCGGACGCCGCTCACGGGAAACGCGCGCGGGAAAGGCGCGCTTCCGCCCGCTCGGGCGCGGCGCGTCTCGCGGGTCTGTGGGCAGCGCCTCGCGTGCCGCCCGGGGATGCGCCGGCCGTGCTTTGCCATTTCTCTTCGAAGTCCACGCGGGGGCTGAGTCCACCCCTTCTCTTCCCTTCCTCCTCCTCGTCCACCTCATCCCTCCTCCCCCTCCTCCTCCTCTCCTCCTCCTCCTCCACCTCCTCCCTCCCTCCTCCTCCTCTTCCTCCTCCTCCTCCTCCTCCTCCTCCTCCTCCTCCTCCTCCTCTCCCTCTCCCTCCTCCTCCTCCATATCTCCTCGTCCTCCTCCTCCCTCTTCACCTCCCCTCCCCCTCCTCCTCCTCCCTCCTGCCTCTCCTCTTCTCCTCCTCCGCCCCTCCTCCTCCTCCTCCTCTCCTCCTCCTCCTCCCTCCTCTCCCTCTTCTCCCTCCTAGTCCCTCCTCCTCCTCCTCCTCCTCCTCCTCCCTTCTTCTCTCCCCGCCCCCCGCTCATTGTTCGGCCTCCGCTCTGGGTGCCCCCCCAACCCCTCATCACCCCGAGCCCCGACGCATATTGCGAGTATGTCCTTGTGCGTCCCGTTGCCCGCTCATTCTCCGGCCCCCGCCTTCGGTGCCCCAGGATCGACGGCGAACCGAGGGGGGGGAAGTGAGAGGGGGCAGGCTTTTCCAGAAGGCGGCGGGGCTTTTCAGAATCCCTCACGCCAAGTTGTCTGCGCCTTCGGAGAAGGCTTAGAGCACTCACTCTTCAGAATGTGCGAGGGCTTCTGAAAAGCCCGAGCCGCCTTCTGCGAAGGCCTGCTCGTTCTCGCTTCCCTCGGGGACGCTAGGTCCACACGGAGTGAGTCCATACGGAGTGATCGGTCTCCATTTGGGCTTACTCCATCTGGATTCCTGATATGAGGCTACATCCACACGGAGTAAGTCCATACGGAGTGCTCGGTCTCGTCTGGGCTTATTCCGTCTGGCTTTAGCCTTTCCCGACTCTGCTCTCCTTCGTCGGAAGAAAATAGTGAGTCATAGGGAAGAGGATCAGGGGAGGAGAAATGTGCCCATGCCGCTACATTCCCCCGGTTTCGCCTTTTTGGGCCTCCTGGGATCGGGGGCGGCAAGGGGGGGGCGATGACTAGGGGGGGTGGACATCATGGCGTGGGCCATGATATTTCCCCAGATTTCATGGCCCTCTTCTTATTTCATTACGTGCCTGGCCCCCCCGCTGGGCCGCGCACATGCGGCCGGTCATGATTTGCACACCCCCCCTTTTGGACACCCCCCTCTTGGCCGCTCCCGACGGGATTTTTTCGTCGCCATCGCTGGATTCGCTTCGAAATTCTGGTCAGAGCGCACCCCCAGGAGAGGTCAGACGGGGTAGCGGTAGCAGTACCCGTCGGGTTTCCCCAGCAGGATACTGTCTGCGAAGGCTCTGGCGATAGCCCAGGTGAGTGGGCCCGCCCGCCCCTCCGGCCTCCCATCTGGGTTGACCTGACCTTCGGAAGAGAAGCGTGAGCCACCAGGTCACCACCAGGGGCGTGAAGACAATGGCGCTCCGCGCGTCGCGGCTTCGGGCGGCGGCGCGAGAGCGCGCAAAGATGTCCGCGCGTCGCGCCTCGTGGGTCGCGGTGCGCGAAGTCAGGCGACCTCGGTCGAGAGATGCGCCTGGCGTGTTTTGTCTTGCCCCTCTTGAAGAGCAGCGCGAGCCAGTTATAGGAGAACGTTTCTCGCTTGTCCCTTGGCGATACCGGGCGTGACACCGGGGGGAGGGGGAAGGGGGGGCGGGAGGGGCCGGGTCGCGTCGAGATTCGCGGCGGCGCCGCCTGGAGTGCTCAAAGAATGGGTAATTCCCAGACGGCGCCCGCGCGAATCGTGACCCCGACCAAGGGGGGGGCAAGAGGGGTGCGGGGGCGGGGCCGGTCAAGGGCGTTACCGCGAAGAACCAAAAGCGAGCTCAAATCGCAGCATGTCCCAAGCAGTGCTTGCACCGAGAGGTCCTCCTCCTCCTCCTCCTCCTCCTCCTCCTCCTCCTCCTCCCTCTCCTCCTCCTCCTCCTCCCCCTCCTCCCCTCCCTCCTCCTCCCCCTTCTCCTCCTCCTCCTCCTCCTCCTCCTCCTCCTCCTCCTCCTCCTCCTCCTCCTCCTCCTCCTCCTCCTCCTCCTCCCCCTCTAGCTTCTGGCTCGGTGTGCGGGCGGAGTTTGGGAGTGCTCGGCCGGGCGTAGGAGCGCGCGCTTCTCGTGTGTGTGTGTGTGTGTTTGTGTTTATGTTTATGCGTCTGCTCGTGCTTGTTGTTGTGCTTGCGTTCGTGCTCGTGCTTTTGTTTATGATTGTGCTTATGCTTATGTGGGTGTTGATGTTTGTGGCTTTGTGTTTGTGTGCTTGCGTGTTTGTGTACGTGCCTACGTGTGCATTCGGTAGGTATCCAGCTGCCTCCGGCAATTCCGCCACCGTGCCAGCGTAGCACTCTGAGTGTTAAGTACTCGAGAAGGCAAGGGGGCCTTCTGGGGCAGAATGCTCAGATTCTTGGTTCGTGTTCCAACTCTTGGGGTCGTCTTGGGTCCCTCTTGGGCAGTGTTGTACGCCGCTTGGGCCCGTCTTGGAGCCTTCTTGCCTCTTGAACAGTCTTGAGGGCTTCTTAGGCCGTCTTGCAGCATCGGAAGCTTGAAATGGCGAGGCTCTTGAAAACATCGAGCAACTATGGAAAATCCATGGCTTTTGCCTCTCGGGGCCCTCTTGGGGTCTCTTTTTGCCCTCTTGCGGCCCCCTGAGCCCTCTTGGGGCGGAAAGCTCGAGTTGCGGGTTCGTGGTCACCCTCTTGGGCCCTTCTTTGGGCCGTCCTGGGGCCCTCTTGGGCATTGTGTCCTTGGGGAACTCAGTGATGCTTGCCTCTCGAGGCCCTCTTGGGACGGCTCTTGGGGCTCTCTTGGGACGCCTCGACGGCCTCGGGGGTTGTCTGGAGTCCATTTTGGACCGCCGTGAGGGCAAAGTGGGTCGCCTTGGAGCGATACTAGGCCGTCTTGGAGGTATCTGGGTCTCGGTAGCGCGAATCTGTCGCATTTTGTGAGGCATCGTTGCCTCGGGAAGAGGGGGTCCTGCATGCAACTCGATGGTACGAGAGGGGGGCCGTAGAAGATTACATCAACCTTGCCAGGCAGCACTTGGCATTATAGCACGCCTCGCTCTATTCAAGACGAGAACCCGAGACAGGAGACGTGGGATATGGGAGCATGATGGGAGGAGGCGGTGGTGGAGGAGGAGGAGGAGGAGGAGGAGGAGGGAGCTGGAAGGAGGAGAGGCGACAACAGTGCCCTATTCACAACGATTCCCCAGCACAGGAGGCTTGGGCAAAGGGCGGAGCAGGCGGAGGAAGTGGATGCCTCCCTCCCTCCCTGCCCCCCCCCCCCTCTTTCCCCCCCTCCCTCCTCCCCCCCCCCTGCCCCCTGCTCCATCCTGCCCCCCCCCCTCTCTCCTGCCGCCCTCCCCTGCTCCCTCCTCCCTCCCCTCCCCCTTTTAAGCCCCACCCCCCGTCCATCTCACGCGCAGCCCCGCGCCCTCCCAGACCAACGCCCTCATCGACGCCACGCTGTCGGGCGCGGCGGCCGCCTCTTCGGTGAGATCCCCGCAGGCCCCCTTTTCGCCCCGCGGGGGGCCGGGGATGGCCTCCTCGTTCGCGTGCGCTCTCGCGCGCAGCGGGGGATGCGGGGGCGAGCCCTGTGGCGAAGGGGCGGAAGAGGGAAGAAGGTGGGAGGGACATGGCGGGGAGTGGGAGCGGGGAGGGGGGGGGTATGGTATGGGGAGGGGTGAGAGCGAGGGGGGGGGGATGGAAGGAGGCGGGGATGAGATGGATGGTCGTCCCCACATGTTTCCCCTCGTCTCCTAGACCGTCGTGAGAGCATGCTGCACTTCTGGCCTTTTGGGGGGGAGACCGCAAGAGAGGAGGTGATGGTCCCCAGGGGCCTTTCTCCTCCCTCCTCCTCCTCCTCCTCTCCTCCTCCTCCTCCTCCTCCTCCTCCTCCTCCTCCGCCTCCTCCTCCTCCTCCTCACTCCTCTCCTCCTCCTCCTCCCTCCCCTCCCCCTCCCCTCCCCCTCCCCCTCCCCTCCCCCCTCCCACCCCTCCCCTCCCCCCCTCCAACCCGAAGCTCCTCCTCCTCCTCCTCCTCCTCCTCCTCCTCCTCCTCCTCCTCCTCTACTTCCTCCTCCTGCCTCGCAATGGGAGGGGCACGACGAAACTATAGGGTCAGCCCGCGCAGCCCCTAACATGGTCCAACCTGGAGACCTCGTTGGCCTGGTCGGGGCCTCTGGGCGCCCTCTTGTGGGGAGGGGGGGGGCTCTCTTTGGATGCATCAGGGCTTGCGTTTGAAAGTATTAGGGCTGTCTTGGAGCTCTGGAGGGATTGGAGGAGGGGATGTCAGGGGACTCTGGGCAGGGCTCAGAGGGTGATCGGTAAGCCCTTCCCCCAGGGGAGGAAGGAAGGCCGGAAAAGCCGAACCCCCAGACCACTTGTGCCCAGAGGGTTTGGTAGGGCTTGAATTCAGCTGTTAGGATCTTGTCATGTAAGGAGGTCTGCTGAACGCCTAGGCCGCCCAGCAAGCACGCGTACTGGTGCGACGATACGGCAGGTTCGTGCGGCAATAGCCCGCCGGCGACGCCGGCGAAGGCGTTCAAGGTTGCATGGACAGGAGCAGGATGAGCAGGAGGGCAGAGGAAGAGCAGGGAGGAGGCAGAAGAAGGAAGCGGAAGGAAGAGGAGGAAGCTTGAATGCCCAGGAGGATGACGTGGATGGTGATGCGAAGGATGAAAAGAAGACGGAGGAGGAGGACCAGTGTAAACTCAAGACCCAACAACAAGATTGCACTAAGCCCTCTCTCCAAGCTCCCTCGTCACAGGCACCTACAAGGGTCAATTTTCATTGAAGGAAGTGCCCCATTGGAAGACAACCGTTTCAAAATTCGGAACTGTGCCAGAACACCATTCCCCAGGACTTCAACGCCGCGAATCACCATTACTGTTGCGTCTTGAAGATCTTGAATCGTACCAGAAAACCATTGCTGGAATTTCAACGCCGCGAATCAACGTGACTGTTGCGCCCTGACAGTCCGACGTGCCAGAACACATTGTCGTGGGACGTGAACCATGGGAATCTTGAAACTGCTGCAGGCTCTTGAGAAGAATGAGCGCGGCGCTGCAGCGGGGCGAGCTCCACATCTTGACGAGGCGCCACCCGCCAGCCGTGGAGCTCTCTGCAGACGGGGAAGGCGCACGTGCGCGGCGCCGAGGCGGGAGCCGCACCTGGAAAGCGCACCGCCCTCCCGCCGTGAAGACGAACGCGCGCGCGCGCGGCGCTGCGGCGAGGACCGCACGCTGAAAAGACGGCCCGCCCTCCCACCCGTGGAGCGCCCCTGCGCCTGTTTCTGAGGCGAGAGGTGCCCCCGGCGCTCGGGCGTGCGCCGCGTGTGGACGAGCGGCCCTGCCCCCCCCCCCTTCCCCCCCTTCCCTCCCTCCCTCCCCCACTCCCCCACTCCCCCACTCCGCTCCTCCTCCTCCCTCCTCCCTCCTTCTCCCTCCTCCCTCCTCCCTCCCTTCCCTCCTCCCTCCCTCCTCCCCTCCATCCCTCCGTCCCTCCCTCCCTCCCTCCTCCCCTCCTCCTCCTTCTTCCTCGTCTCGGCGACCTCTCCGCCTCCTCCTCCTCCTCCTCCTCCTCCTTCCTCTCCCTCCTCCTCCTTCCTCCACATCCACCACCACCCTCCACCACCTCCACCTACTCCACCTCCACCTCTCCGTCCCTCCCGCCGTCCCTCCCTCCCTCCCTCCCTCCGTCCCGTTCCATCCGGGAAGCTCTGCAATGTTTGAGACGAGTGCGCGCAGCGCCGAGGCGAGAGCTGCAGCCTGACGGCGGCCCGCCCTCCATCCGTAGAGCCGTTGCAGATGCTCAGCTTCGGTATCTCACCACCCACCAAACCACCCCAACCCAACCCGAAGGCTCAGATTTACCCTCGATTTCCAGTGGGGGGGGGTCGGGAAACGTCGAAAAAACACGTGTGGAACCCTTACCCCCCCCAACCCGAAATTCGGGTCTTCGGGTTGGGTTGGGGTGGTCTGGTAGGTAGTCAGTATCGTAGATGGTGACGAAGTCTCAGTCGGAACGCCCGGCCCGCCCTTTCGAAATCGGAACGCCCGGCCCGCCTTTTCGACCGTTTTCGGGATGTGACAGGGAGGGGTTGCGTGTGAGGAAGAGGGAATAGAGGCATTGGGACCCTTTCTTCGTGCTCGTACGGGCTCGTCAGGACCCGAGGACGGGCGAGTATGACCGTGCTCTTGTCCGTGTTGCCGCTCTCCCTCTCTCTCTCTCTATTTCACCCTTGGTGTACTTGCCCTCTGTTCCAGGTTCGGCAGCAAGTCACCCATGCCGTTATGGATCGACCGACCGAGGAGCAGGATGAGGAGGATGAGCCAAGAGGGAGAAGGGGCAGGAGGAGGAGGAGGAGGTGAGAGGAGGAGAAGGAGGGAGGAGGAGAGGACGAGGAGACGGGAGAAGAGGAGGGAGGAGGCGTCAGGAGAAGAGGAGGGACAGGAGGAGCTGGAGGCGTCGGGAGAGAAACGACGACGACGACGACGACGACGCGCTGCTCGCGCGCGCGCGAGGCGTCGGGGTCCTCCACGAGCCAGCAGGCCGGCCGAGCGATGGGCGCTGCCGCTCGGCGCCCATGCGCACTTCCGTGCGCGCTCGCTCCTCGGACCATCTCCCCCGGGGGCTGTTTCCTGTGGGGCGTGGCGGGGGGGGGTCGGGAGCGGAAAAGAGGGGGGTGATGACTAGGGGGGGGGGGATTTCATGGCGCGGGCCATGATTTTTCCTCAGATTTCATGGCGCCTCTTCTTATTTCATTACGTCCCAGGCCCCCCCGCTGGGCCGCGCACGTGCCGCCCGTCATGATTTGCACCCCCCCCCTCTTGGACACCCCCCTCTTGGCCGCACCGATAGAGGGCGGGAGGTTCTTGCTGCGAGGTCCCTTATCGGGGGCAGGGAGGATGAAGGGAGGGAGGGGGGGAGACCGTGCTCGAGGGAGGCAGGGGAGGGGAGGGGAAGGGAGGGGGGGGGGGGGGGGGGTGGGGCGTGAGGGGAAGGGGGGGGGAGGGGAGGGAGAGGAGGGGGTGGGAGGATGTGGGAGGAGGAGGGACTGTGCTCGAGGGAGGGAAGGGGAGGGAGGGGGGGGGTGGGGGAGGGGGAGGGGAGGGGAGTGAGGGAGGGGGGATGGGGAAAGGGGTAGGGGATAGGAGGGAGGGAGGGAAGGCGAGAGAGGGCGAACCAGAGTAAAGCTCACACGATGCAATCAACGATGCTGAACAGTACACCTTCCCGTCCAGCACACCTTGCGCACCAGCCCTTGCTAGGCAGCTTCAAGGCCCTCGCTTCATGAGTCGGCCCCCCCCGCTGGGGAGAGCAGGCACCCAACCGCCATTTGGGGGGGCCTGCCATTTAGGCGGTAGTCCCGTTTTCAAAATGAAATGACGTGTACCCATCAAGCGAATAGTAAGGAATGCGAACTTGTATGACCATGCAGTTCGACGAGGTACGCAGCGAGATCACCGTTTCGATAAAGGACCGCCATGTGTGTAACTGTCGCACAAGTGTACACGTCTGGCCATGCAGTTCAAATGTGTCTCAAGCGAGAACCCCATACTGAAAAGGAATTGGCCTCCACGCGTGCAGGTGTTGCACAGGTTGACGTTCGTGGTTCTTACATGTCAGCAAGGCTCCAGCGAGAGCCCCATTTTGAAAATGGACCGACCTTCATCCTCGCCAGTGTTGCAAGCTTCGCAGCAGATATGCGCGGCGCTGCGGCGAGAGCTCAAGTTTGAAAACGGCCCCCTTTTGATCTGCGTGGCTGGCTCAAGCTTCAAGTTTCAGGGTCATGCGTGGCGAGGAAGTCTCAGGCGAAATGCCAGGCCCGCCATATTGGCGACACAAAGGGAGTTATTCATCTGAAGGAAATGGAGCGGGGGATCAGGAGGAGCAGGGAGCAGATGCATGAGGAGGAGGAGGAGCAGCAGCAGCAGCAGCAGCAGGTGGAGGAAGGAGGAGGAACTGGAAGAGGAGGGAGAGGGAGTGTTGATGCAGTGCACTGCGGCAAGGCAGTCAATGCGTGCTCACGTGGGAGGAGCGAGAGGGGAGGAGGGAGGAAGCAGGATGGAGGAGGGAGCCGGGTGGACGCAGGAGGGAGGGGTTGTTGGGTGGGTGGTGGGTGGTGGATGGGGCGGGTGGAAGATCTAGAGAGGCCGTTCGTGCTTCTGCCTTCCTCCTGCTGCCGTGCCGCCCCCACCGCTTGTTTAGATTGGCTCGTTGCTTGGCCCCCCCGGCAAGAATCGCTTCGGGAAGGGTCCCCAGACGACGCTTCGGAGGCGAACGGCTCCCGAGCAGAGCCGAGGTCAGGGCTTCTGGGCTGTGTGTGATTCTGTTTCTGGAGCTGTGTCTGTGCTTGTGCTCGTGTGTGTCTCTGTGGTTATGCTTGTGTTGTGTGTGTGTGTGTGTGTGTTGGTGTGTGTTGGTGTATGAAGCGTGTTATGCGTGCGTGCGCGTGCGCGTGCGCGTGCGGATGTGTGTGTGTGTGTGGGTGCGGGTGCTGGTGCGGGTGCGGGTGCGGGTGCGGGTGCGGGTGCGGGTGCGGGTGTGGGTGCGTGTGTGTGTGTGTGTGTGTGTGCGTGTGTGTGTATGTGTGTGTGTGTGTGTGCGTGCGTGCGTGCGTGCGTGCGTTCGTGCGTGCGTGCGTGCGTGCGTGCGTGCGTGCATGTGTGTGTGTGCGCTGTGTGGGCGTGTTTGTGTGTGTGTGTGCTGTGCGTGTGTGCGTGTGTTGTGGTGTGTGTGTGTGTGTGCTTGTGTGCGTGTGTTTGTCTTTGTTCTTGTATGTTGAGCGGGCGCCCCCTCCGTGCGTGCCCGCGTAGCCTCGCTCCCCGTGGCTGGGCCCTACCCCCCCCCCCCGCCCGGGCTGCCGCACAAGGGCTCGGCGCATCTGGCCTTTGGCCAGGGCACCGCTTATCTTAGACCGGGGCCCAGGTTTCTTTGTTGTTCTTCTGTTGCATCCTCGGGGGACCTCGCCTGTCCCAAAAATTGGTGTCTTTTTGGGGGCCCGACGCGTGCTCGATGCGGACTCGACGCGGATTTGGCGTGGATTCGACGCGGATTCAACATGGATTCGACACGGATCCGACGCGTCCGACATGGATTCGACACGGATTCGACGCGGACAGGGCCGCGACGGGACAGACAAGGTCCCTCGAGGATGCAACATAATTGTTCCATCCAGTCGTCACCCATTCTCCCGCTCGCTCGCTCGCTCTCTCTTTCTCTTTCTCTCTCTCTCTCTCTTTCTCTCTCTCTCTCTCTCTTTCTATCACTATGTCTCTATATGTTGTTCCCCCTCTCTCTCTCTCGCCCTCGTTGTCTTCGCGGCTTCTTTCTCCACTGCCCCTCTCTGCGCCTCAATCCATCTCAACCCCTTCCTGGCCCCAATCCCCGTCGCGCTTCCCCTCTTCCCGCCTCCCCTTCCTCCGCGCCTTCCCGTGTTCGTCTCACCAGCCACGGTGCCAAAGTCAGCTCGCGCATCGCGGTGCCGCGTCGCCTGGAAACGGCCCGGGGGTAGGCGCTGCGTCCTCGTTCGAGCGGCAGCTGGTTTGTCGCTGGTTCGTCAGCTTCTGAGTCGCCGTTGTGCCAGACCCACACTAGATCCCCTTCCTCTTCTCCTCCTCCTCCTCCTCCTCATCATCATCATCATCCCCATCCTCCTCCTCATTTTCCTCCTCCTCCTCCTCGTCGTCGTCGTCATCATCATCATCATCATCATCATCATCATCATCATCATCATCATCATCATCATCATCATCATCATCATCCCTATCCTCGTCCTCATTTTCCTCCTCCTCCTCCCCTGCGCTCACCTCCCCTCCATGATTCTTCTAGGTCACCTCCAGGGGCGCGAAGATGATCGCGCTTCGCGCGTCGCCATCTGGGCTGGGGCGGCTGCCCTTCTCCAAGGGGGAGCGGCGCGAGGGCGCGGGGGCGCAAAGGCAACCACGCACGGCGGGGCGCGAGGGCGCGAAGGGAGGTGATCTAGATATTACCGTCAAAATCCACAGCAAGAGCGCATTGCTTCATCAAGGCTGCCCTTGCATCCCTGCTTCCTCGGTCCGTCCCGAGCCAGCGTTGACGTCCAAGGAGCTCTAAGTGGTAAATGGGACTTCCAAGGGTTTTGCATCCTTGCCATGCGTCCTTACCTTGGATTTTGACTGTAGATCCCCTTCCTTTTCTCCCCTGCGTTCCCCTCCCCTCCGGTATGCATGGCGGCTTTAACGTAGTGCGCACCCCCGGCAACGTTGCCCTTTGGTGTCTTTTCGCGGATTTCTGAGCTCCGAGTTCCGAGCTTCCCTCCCCTCCATGGTCGGCGGCGCGCTCGGGAGGGAAGTAAGAAGGGCATACCTTCCGTGAAGGCTCGGAAGGCCTCCGGCCTTCTGAGAAGGTTTCCTAAGCCCTCCCCGAAGACACCGAAAACTATGCAGAGGGCACGAGGGTTTCTGAGAAGCCCCGCCGCCCTTTGAGAAGGCCTCCTCCTCCTCCTCCTCCTCCGCCTCCTCCTCCTCGCTTCCACCCCCCTCGTTCGCCGCCGATCTTCTCCCCTGCGTCCCCCTCCCACTCGCCCACGATGTCACGAAAGCGCCGGGCCCCCAGCCTGCACCCGTGGTCGCCAGGCCGTGGAGACCGGCATCAGCCCCGACGTCCAGGGCTACGGCACCCCAGAGATCTACCACAAGTGGCGGATCGAAGGAGCGCCCCTCTATCGAAGAGGGACAGAAAGGGCATACACCAGCCACGCGCAGAGGGGGGTAATTAGGGCCATGGGGGAGGGCTCTAAGAAGGAGGTTGCTTCTCAGAAGGCGCCGGCCTTGAATCTACAGATACGGCCCGCGCCTTATGAGAAGCAGCCTCCTTGTAAGAAGCCTCCCCCCCCTCCCCACCCCCCGCTGTGCGCGCCGACAGAAACGGCATAAGCATAAATGCTCTGAGCTCCGCGCGGACTTCTTGGATCTGCGCTGGGCCCCCCGGGCGCCAGGGTCCAGCGCAGGTCTGAGAAGTCCGCGTGGACCGTCGAAAGTTTATGCTCATGCACTTGTTTTTCCTCTGCTCTTGGCCAAGAGGGGAAAACCACTCCGACCCCCATAAATGGCGTTTACTAAACGGCCCTGGGCGTTTACGAAACAGCATTGCCGTGTTCGATGTCTTCTCTGGGTGCGTTTAGTGAGCAGCTTTGCTTGTCGGGGTGCGTATCATGATGGTGTTTTTGCTTTCTGCGCTCTAGCTAATTCGGCCTCCCAGATGGGGTCGGAGGATCGCGTCGCGTCGCCGATGCATCGGCGATGCGGCTTGATGTGGAGCCCGATTTTCTCCACGCCGACGTCGCCGATGTATCGCCGATGCGTCGCGATCTAGCGACCCCATCTACTCGGATCTCATTTGGGAGGCCTCTGGTTTCGGGTGAGTCTCCCCCTCCCCTAAAACCGCTGGCGTTCCAATGTTTTCGAGCCTTGCGTTTTCGCCAGTTTTCGGGCCCTGGGACCCTCACAGGTCGATCCAGCTCGAAAAATGGTGCAGAAAGATGGGGTTTGGGGCTCTGGTTGTGATTTTCCACGATGTCCCAATTTTTTCGAGACGCCGGATCTCAAGGTCCTCCGTCCCACTCTTAATCCAGCTGATGTTCGGTCACCCCTCCACCCTCTCTCGTTCCTCCTGCCCCCCCGCTCCCTCCCCCTCCAGCCTTCCCTTCCCTCCCTGGGCCCATCCTCCATCTGACCCGTTTTGCCCGGCCCTGAGCGAATTCGACGCGGGGGGGAGAGACGGAAGCGCAGGACGGGACGGGATAGGAGGACGACTTGGGAGGATCAGCATTGCGATCGTTGGAGACACTTGCAAAGAGGAAGTGGGCCCAGTGCGGTACGACTTGCAGGGCGACGTGTTCGCTTGGGCTCTGCATCGCAGAATCAGGGTCCAAGGCCAGGCCGCCTTCGGACAAAGGCGCTGCGGCACATACACGTCTGATGACCGTGGGCGCCGCCCGGGGGGGGGGCGGCCCCGCGCGGATCCAAGAGACCCGCGCCGACCTCCGACGGGCTATGTTTGTGCCGTTTTTGTTGTTGTTGTCCTCTCCAAGAGATTCTGGTTGGCAGGTGCTCTCTGGATACAGTCGGGGCCCTGAAGAAGAAACCCTTTTGGTTGGGGAGGGGCTCCGCGTTTCTTAAGTGTTTCACGGCTTGCCTCAGGTTTCCCTGATGTTTTCGATCGGAAATCGAAGTTTAACTTATGGAAAAAAGGGCCTCGTTCCTTATTTAGGGTTCCTTAGGTCAACGCCCCGACTGTACTGCAACGGCGGAGTCAGAGAGAGCAGGGCAGGCTTCGGCTTCGTGCTGGAAGCCGTCGATCTAGACGGCGCCCTGCTGCCAGGCGTGCCTCGAAGGGGGGAGGGCGGCCTCGGCGAGGCCACAAGGGACCCAGGCGGACCTTCGTGGCCCACAGTCGGACCGAGGCCCATGAGAGCGAGGTCGGCTCGGGGAGGGTTCCCCTCGTGTTCTTCGTGTCCGCTGGCTGCTCTTGTGCATCCTCCTCCTCCTCCTCCTCGCTCCCTCCTCCTCCTCCTCCTCCTCCTCCTCCTCCTCCTCCTCCTCCTCCTCGCTCCCTCCTCCTCCTCCTCCTCCTCCTCCTCCTCCTCCTCCTCCTCCTCCTCCTCCTGGGATGTTCCGTTTGCTTCGGCCGACGGAGGGCCTCCTGCTCTCGAGGCGTCTTCCTCTGGCCCGGGCGTCCGACCGTACAGGTCCCAACGTGCAGTGGAGACGGCTGCGCACCTCGCAGCACCCGAGGGAAGCGCGAGGTCTCAAATGCATCCGCGCTCGCCCGAGACTTGCCCAGAGCTGTGCCCGAAGACGGCCTCCAGGAGGAGGAGGAGGAGGAGGAGGAGGAGGAGGAGGAGGAGGAGGAGGAGGCCGCCGCCCAGCGCTCCAGGTGGCCCCCAGCCCCGCTCCAGAGTGATCCGGCTGTCGCCGCGGGTGCCGCCGGGACCCGTGACCATGCTAGACTGGTCGATCAGCCCTCGCTAGAAGCAGCGACAGCAACTAAGGCTGCCCCAGGACTTGGCACGAGTAACCGGGATGCTACGGGGGTGAGGGCAGGCGTCTCCTCCTGAACGACCCTGTTCCGCGCGGTGGACCACAGCCTCAGGCCATTTGCACCGTCGGGCCATTGTGCCCTACAGGGTGGGGACACCAGGAAACTGGGCCCACTAACGGTGTCAACGCGCCCCAAAGCCATATGACCTCAAGTCCTCCTCCTCTTCCTCCTCCTCCTCCTCCTTTTCCTCCTCCTTCTCCTCCTCCTCCTCTCTCCTCCTCCTCCTCCCCCTCCTCCTCCTCCTCCTCCTCCTCCTCCTCCTCCTCTCCTCCTCCTGCCTCCTCCTCCTCCTCCTCTCCTCCTCCTCCTCGCCGGTCCTCCCCCTCCTCCTCTCTCCTCCGTCCTCCTCCTCTTCCACGTTCATCCTCCCCCCCTGTTCTCCCGTTCCCCCCTCTCCCTTGCTGCACCCCCCCGCCTCCTTCACCCCGCCCTCTTCTCCCCCCTCTTTGCGCCCCCCGGCGGAGGCAAGAAGAATGCCGGGCTGTAGCGCGGCCGCCCAGCAGGCTCGCCCCCAGGGGCAGCGGCACGGGCGGCACCATGGGGCGGGGGGGGGTCGCAGCCCACATGCAATCCGGGCCGAGGAAGGGGGGGGGCATCGGCGAGGAGGGCGCCAGGAAAGAGGGAGGAGGAGGCGAGGAGGGAGAGGGGAGGAAGGGGGGGGAGGAGGGGGGGGGGGGAAACAGGGGAGGGGAGGGGTGGGGGGGTGGAGGGGGGGGGGGGGCGGCCAGGGGGGGATAGTGGTATCACCCTTGTCCTGAGGCCTCCTGGGGCCTCCTCGGACCTGGGGCCTCGTGGGACCTCCTGGGGTGGGGCCTCCTGAGGCCTCCAGGGACCTTCTGGGGCCTCCTTGGGCCTCCTGGGACCTCCTGGAACCTACCGAGGTCTCCTGGGGCCTCATGGGGGGTCGTCCTGGGACCTCCTGGGGCCTTCTTGGGCCTCCTGGAGCCTCCTGATTGATGCTGCGCATACAAACGTGGATTGAGCGCTCATTGGTACTGGTGCTGGATTTGGCCACGCTGAATGTCGTTTGTTATACATACATGCCTGTCTGCCTGCCTGCATGCATGCATGACTGCATGCATGTATGCATGCATGCATACAAACATACACACATACATGCATACAGACAGACAGCCATGCAGACAGGCATAACGACAGGCATAAAGACAGGCATGCAGACGCACACACATGCATGCGTATCTATATATACATGTGTACATATGTGTATACATATGTATGTATCTATACAATCATGCATGCTCGCATGCATACATACATTCGAACATACATGCACACCCACACATCCACCGATACATACGACCATGTATGTATGCATGCATGCATGTCTACATACGTACACACGTGCAAACAAGCAAACACACAAGCACACATGCATGCATGCACATACATATATACATATATATATGTATATAGACATACATACGTACGTGCGTGCACGCATGCATCCATGCATACATACAAACATGCATACACACATGCAAACAAACCTTCGTACATGCAGACATGCATATCTACCTACATACATACATGCATGCACACACGCATACATACATACATACATACATACATGCATACATACATACATACATACATACGTATATACATACACATACATACATACATACATACATACATACATACATGCATGCGCACATACAAGCACACTACCTACCTGCCTACCTACCTACCTACCTACTCCCTACTACCTACCTGCGGACATACCTACCTACCAACCTACCTACCTATCTACGTACGTACATGCACACACACGTGCATGCATACTGGCAGACAGCAGGCAGACGGGCAGACCGGCATGCATATACGCATACATACATACCTACGTCCGTACATACGTGCGTATGTGCATACATACGTACAAACACATCTACACACACGCATACATACATACAAACATGCAGTCAGGCAAGCATGCATGCATGCGTACATACGTACATACATACATACATACATACATACATACATACATACATAATATACATATACATACATACAGACATGCACACTACCGACCTACCTACCTCCCTACCTATCTACATGCAACATTCAAACATGCAAGCACACATACATACATACATACATACATACGTACATCGATACATACATACATGCCTACACACATACAAACATACATACACGTACATACATACAAACGTACGTACGTACATACATACGCACAGACACAGACAGACAGACAGACAGGCATACATGGTCCAGGGCTTGGCCCCCCCCCCCCAATGCTGATGCCATTGGGCCCCCCCCCGCGCGATGGTCCCCCCCGCCCCCCCCTGTGGGCGTGGCGTGGTGCTGCGCTGCGGTGCCCCCCTCCCCCCCCCTGTGGATGTGGTGTGGTGCTGTGGTGGTTCAGAGGTGGGCGTGGCGTGGTGCTGCGCTGCGGTGCCCCCCTCCCCCCCCCCTGTGGATGTGGTGTGGTGCTGTGGTGGTTCAGAGGTCGTCGTCGTCGTCGTCGTCGTCGTCGTCGTCCTCGTCGTCGTCGTCGTCGTCGTCCTCGTCGTCCTCGTCGTCGTCGTCGTCATCGTCGTCGTCGCCGTCGTCATCGTCGTCATCGTCGTCGTCGCCGCCGCCGCCGCCGGCGTCGTCGCCGCCGCAGCCGTCGTCGTCGTCGTGGTCGTCGTCGTCGTCGTCGTCGCCGTCGTCGTCGTCGTCGTCTCTGGGACCATACCATCTGGGGGGGAGGGGGGAGGGCCCGAGGAATCCTGGGACCATACCATCTGGGGGGGAGGGGGGGGGCCCGTGGGCCCGGAGCCCGGGATTATACATACATCCACACAGACAGTCACAGACAGACAGACAGACAGGCAGACAGACAGACATACACCCATACAGGCACACATACACACTACCTACCTACCCACCTACCAACCGACGTACCTATCTGCCTATCTGCCTATCTGCATACCTACCTACCTACCGACGGACCTACCTACCTACCTATCTAGTTGCAACAGACAAAAGAACAAACAAACAAAAACGTATACATACATACATACATACATACATACATACGCAAATACAAACAAACAAACAAACATACATACGTATATACATACATACATACATACATACATACATACATACATACATACATACATACATACATACATACATACATACATATATATACATACACACATACATACATACATACATACATACATACGGACAGACAGACAAACAGACAGGCTGACTTATATACATACATAAATATATACATACATACATGCATTCACGCATGCACGCACATACATACATACGTACTTACATACATACATACATACGTACGTGGGTGCGTGCGTGCGTGTGTGTGCGTACGTAAATACATACGTACGCGCGTACGTATATTCACACAGACAGACCGACAGACAGGCAGACATGCGACATACGTTCACAAGGACAGACAGACAGACAGACAGACAGACAGACAGACAGACAGACAGACAGACAGACGTACATAGATTCAAACATGCATGCATGCATACAAACATACACACTCGACACACTTGTGTGTGATCCCCGCACGCCACGGGACACTGCCCCCTTGGTCTCACAGGCGCCCCGCAGGGACAAAGGGACCCCGCCTCTCCCGGGCCCGCGGACGCTGTGCCCTAGCGCTTGGCCGCACCGCACCGTCGCATTCTGATTTGCGACCCCACGCGTTGCGGTGTTCAAGGTGCGCACACACTCACCCGTCCACCCATCCACCCACCCACCCACACACACGTATACACACACGCACACACGCTTAGTTCAACTAGCCAACGCTGTGAGCCTACGCTGTGAGTCCACGCCGTGAGCCCACGCTGTGAGTCCACGCTGTGAGCCCACGCTGTGAGCCCACGCTGTGAGCCCACGCTGTGAGCCCACGCTGTGAGCCCACGCTGTGAGCCCACGCCGTGAGCCCACGCTGTGAGCCCACGAAACACACACGTATACACACACGCACACACGCTTAGTTCAACTAGCCCACGCTGTGAGCCTACGCTCTGAGTCCACGCCGTGAGCCCACGCTGTGAGCCCACGCTGTGAGCCCACGCTGTGAGCCCACGCTGTGAGCCCACGCTGTGAGCCCACGCTGTGAGCCCACGCTGTGAGCCCACGCTGCGAGCCCACGCTGTGAGCCCACGCTGTGAGCCCACGCTGTGAGCCCACGCTGTGAGCCCACGCTGTGAGCCCACGCTGCGAGCCCACGAAAACACCCACGTATACACACGCACACACGCTTAGTTCAACTAGCCAACGCTGTGAGCCTACGCTCTGGTCAACGCCGTGAGCCCAACGCTGTGAGCCCACGCTTGTAGCCCCACGCTGTGAGCCCCGCTGTGATCCCACGCTGTGAGTCCACGCTGTGAGCCCACGCTGTGAGCCCACGCTGTGAGCCCACGCTGTGAGTCCACGCTGTGAGCCCACGCTGTGAGCCCACGCCGTGAGCCCACGCTGTGAGCCCACGCTGTGAGCCCACGAAACACACACGTATACACACGCACACACGCTTAGTTCAACTAGCCCACGCTGTGAGCCTACGCTCTGAGTCCACGCCGTGAGCCCACGCTGTGAGCCCACGCTGTGAGCCCACGCTGTGAGCCCACGCTGTGAGCCCACGCTGTGAGTCCACGCTGTGAGCCCACGCTGTGAGCCCACGCTGTGAGCCCACGCTGGGAGTCCACGGAGTCCACTCTGTGAGCCCACGCACGCTGTGAGCCCACGCTGTGAGCCCACGCTGTGAGCCCACGAAACACACACGTATACACACGCACACACGCTTAGTTCAACTAGCCCACGCTGTGAGCCTACGCTCTGAGTCCACGCCGTGAGCCCACGCTGTGAGCCCACGCTGAGAGCGCACGTGAGAGCCCACGCTGTGAGCCCACGCTTTGAGTCCACGCTGTTGAGCCCACGCTGTGAGCCCACGCTGTGAGCCCACGCTGTGAGCCCATGCTATGAGCCTACGCTGTGAGCCCACGGTGTGAGCACACGTTGTGAGCCCACGCTGGGAGCCCACGCAACACACCACACGCAACACACCGCACACGCAACACAACACACGCCCAACACACCACACGCAACAAACCACACGCAACACACCACACGCGACACACCACACGCAACACACCACAAGCAACACACCACACGTAACACACCACATGCAACACACCGCACACGCAACACAACACACGCGCAACACACCACACCCAACATACCGCGCGCAACACACCACACGCAACACACCACACGCCACACACGACACGCAACACACCACACGCAACACACCACACGCAACACACCACACACCACACACCTACACACCTACACACTTCATGCAACACTCCACACGCAGCACACCACATGCCACACACCACACTCGACACACCACACGACACACACGACACGCAACATACCGCACGCAACACTCCACACGCAACACTCCACACGCAACACACCACACGCAACACACCACCCGCAATACACCACACGCAACACACGACACACAACACACCACACACCACACGCCACACACCACACGCCACACACTACACACCACACCGCCCACCTCCCACGCCACCAACACATACCACCCACCACCACCCACCACGGACCACCCCCACGCACCACGAGTACAGCACCCACCACGCAGCACACAACCACACCCCCCCATAACGCCACACCCCGCACACGCACACCGCACACCGCAGCCGCCGCCGCACACACGCACCCACCACCACTCCCGCAACGCCGCACGCACACACACACACACCCCACCACCCCACCACCACACCCACCACCACCGCCAACGATACCGTCACAACCAACGCCACCACCACCACCACAATCACCGCTACCACCACTCCCACCACCACCACCACACACAAACGCACGCACACACACACACACACCACAGAGGAACTCACTCTCGGACCGCGCTGAGAACTCCAGCGCGTAAGCAATTCGAGATTCCGTCGGGCCCACAGCGTGCACTCACAGCGTGCGTTCACGGTCTTTCCCACCGGGTGGCGCGCAGCGTGCGCTCACACCTTGCGCTCACAGCGTGCATTCACAGCGTGATTGGCCCACGCTGCTGTGCGTGCCCGCCGTGGTGAGCCCACGCTGTGAGCCCACGCTGTGAGCCCGCGCTCTGAGTCCACGCTGTGAGCCCACGCTGTGAGCCCTCGAAACACAACACGCAACACATCAGCACGGCGCAACACAAGGACACGCGCACACACCACTCGCATCACACCACACCGCACACACCACACTCAACACTTCGACACCACAACGCAAACACACCACACGCAATGCACCCCACGCAACACACCACACTCAACCACCACACGCAACACACCACACGCAACACCCACAAACCTGCCACACACCTACACGCAACATACCGCGCGCAACACACCACAAACTCAACACATCTCCACCGCAAACAACCACACTCAACACTACACAAACGCAACACACCACTTCGCAACCACCACACACCACACACATACACACTTCACGCAACACACCACACGCAACATACCACATGCCACACACCACACGCAACACACCACACGCACACACGACACGCAACATACCGCACGCCGCACTCCACACGCAACACTCCACACGCAACACACCACACGCAACACGCCACCCGCAATACACCACGCGCAACACACGACACACAACACACCACACGCCACACGCCACACACTACACACCACACACCACACACCACACCGCACACCTCCCACGCCACACACACACCACCCACCACCACCCACCACGGACCACCCACCACGCACCACACAGCACCCACCACGCAGCACACACCACACACCATAACGCCACACACCGCCCACCGCACACCGCACACCGCACCGCACGCCGCACACCGCACAACACCCACCACGCACACACGCACACACGCACACACACACCACCACCCCACCACCACAACCACCACCACCACCAACGATACCGCCACCACCAACGCCACCACCACCACCACAATCACCGCCACCACCACTCCCACCACCACAGCCACACACAAACGCACGCATACACACACCACAGAGGAAATCACTCTCGGACCGCGCGGAGAAATCCAGCGCGTAAGCAATTCGAGATTCCGTCGGGCCCACAGCGTGCACTCACAGCGTGCGCTCACGGTCTTTCTCACCGGGTGGCGCGCAGCGTGCGCTCACGGCGTGCATTCACAGCGTGCACTCACAGCGTGCATTGACAGCGTGACTGGCCCACGCTGCTGTGCGTGCCCGCCGTGGTGAGCCCACGCTGTGAGCCCACGCTGTGAGCCCACGTTCTGAGTCCACGCTGTGAGCCCACGCTGTGAGCCCACTCTGTGAGCCCACGCTGTGAGCCCACGCTGTGAGCCCACGCTGTGAGCGCAGGCTGTGCGAGCGCGCTTATCAGCTCAGCGAGCCCTCGACGCCGCGTGCACTCACAGCGTGCACTCGCATCGTGCACTCACAGCGTGCGCTCACCGCAGCGTGCACTCACAGCGTGCACTCGCAGCGTGCACTCACCGCAGCGTGCACTCACAGCGTGCGCTCACAGCGTGTACTCACCACTGCGTGGGCTCACAGCGTGCGCTCACCACAGCGTGCACTCACAGCGTGCACTCAATCACTCACGGTTCAACGCAAAGCTCTTCACGGTTAGGATCTATTCTGCTTGGGCGTGGAAGCCAAGGTCACCCGCAGGGGCGCGAAGACGACTGCGCTTCGCGCGTCGCGGCCCGAGCCGCCGCAGAGATGCCCTCCTCCAGGGTGGCGAGGGCGAGGGCGCGAATGCAAGCGCTCGTCGCGCGGTGCGGGGCACTGCGTGGGTGACCTGGGGAACGGCCTCCTGGACAGCGAAGGTTGCGGCAGAGACGGCGGCGCGACTGCCTCGAGCCGCCAGGGATCTGGGCAGGTGTCAGGAGGGAAGAAACACGCAGACACAAAGAAGCGTCGAATCCGAGGAAGATATGGGCACAGAGGGGGAGTGCGGGGGGGGGGAAGATTAACATCCAGAAGAGATCCCAAAATAGGAGGAATCCTGGGATTTGTACTTGCAGTGGAGGCCCATGCCAAGAAACACCCTGCTTGCCTCCAGGGTGCCCGGGGTTTCTTGGATTTCGATGGTTCTGCTGTGGAGAGCGAGACGTGCCCACGCCAAAAATCAGTGGACGTCCTGGGGTCTCAGGGTTGGGTTTCTTGTGGAAGGTTTCTTGTGGTCGACCTCCTACTGTAGTGTAGTGAGGACAGGTGGTAGGGGGGGCATTTTGCAGTTAGAGGACTCCAACTATGCACCTTGCGGCTGAGGAGGAGGAGGACGACGACGACGAGGAGGAGGAGGACGACGGAGAGGAGGAGGATGAGGAGGAGGAGGAGGAGGAGGATGAGGAGGAGGAGGAGGAGGAGGAGGAGGAGAAGGGGTGGTCGGGCCTCCACTGTGTTTATCTGTGTGCTCTTGGGCCCCTTCAAGGTGGTGCGGTGCGCCTGGCCGGTGCCGGGGCGGCGACCACTGATCGGGGCTGCAGGTAGGGCGCCGCCTCACACCGGGCGCGGGGGGGGGGCAGAAGGCTTGTCGGGGGCGGCAAAGAGGGGGGTGATGACTAGGGGGGGGGGGATATCATGGCGGGGGCCATGATATTTCCCAGATTTCATGGCGCCTCTTCTTGGTTCATTACGTCCCTGGCCCCCCCGCTGGGCCGCGCACATGCCGCCGGTCATGATTTGCATCCCCCCTCTTGGACACCCCCTTCTTGGCCGCTCCCGAGCTTGGCAAGGCTTGAGGCGGCGACAGGGGCGACCATCCTAGGGGAGGGCGCTGCTCTGGTTGGCCCACGGGGGGGGTCCAGCGAAAAGGGGGTGGTGCAACAGACCCTCCTCCTCCTCCTCCTCCTCCTCCTCCTCCTCCTCCTCCTCCTCCACCCCCTGCCTCCTCCTCTTCCTCCTCCTCCTCCTCCTCCTCCACCCCCTGCCTCCTCCTCCTCTTCTCCTCCTCCTCCTCCTCCTCTCCTCCTCCTCCTCTTCCTCATCTTCCTCCTCCTCCTCCTGCCTCCTGCCTCCTTCTCCTTCTCCTCATCCTCATCCTCCTCCTCCTCCCTCCCCCTCCTCACGCCGCCTGGCTGTCCGTTTGTCCGTTCGTCTGTCTGTCTGTCTTCCTAGCTCTTTGAGCCGCGGCGCTGTGAGCTTCTTAGCTCAGGGACGCGTCGGCCAACGCTGCCCTCTCCCTTGTCGGTTGCCCTGACGAGGTTGAGGGAGAGGGTGCCGAAACGCGCCCAGAGTCCAGCAAGGCATGAGGGTGCAAACCCGACTTGCTGGCTGATGCTATGGGGGAGGGCCTGTGCTCAGGGGAGACTGCAGCACCACTCAACGATGTGCTGTTGAACCGAACTTGCAGGGTGGACCCTTTCCCAAATCCGTGCTTCGGTGCGGATCGTCTGCGCGACTCGTCGGCGGCGTCGTCGTCGTCGTCGTCGTCTCGTTGTCGTCGTCGTCGTCGTCGTCGTCGTCGTCGTCGTCGTCGTCGTCGTCGTCGTCGTCGGCGTCGTCGTGGTCGCGGTGCGTGTTGCTCTGCTCGGGACTATTTGTTTCCCTTATGCAGTGACCACCATCACCACCCCCTCCTCCCTCCTCCTCCTTCTCCTCGTCCTCCTCCTCCTCCTCCTCCTCCTCCTCCTCCTCCTCCTCTTGCTCTTCCTCCTCCTCCTCTTCCCTCTCCGCTTCCTCTTTTGGAATCCACTGCCCCTCTGTTCTGAAGCAGTTGTATAGGAGGGGGTAAAGAGCACAGAGGAGTCCTCTTCCTCTTTCTCTTTCCCCTCCTCCTCCTGCTCCTCCTCCTCCTCCGCCTCCTCTTTCTCCTCTTTCTCCTGTTTCTCCTCCTCCTCCTCCTCTTCCTCCTCCTCCTCTTCCACCCGCATTCATCATCCTGCCTCCTCCTCCTCATTATCTCCCCTCCTCTCCGCCTCTCCTCCCTCCTCCTCCTCCTCCTCCTCCTCCTCTCATTTTCTCCATTATCCTCCTCCTTCTCCTGTTTCCTCCTCCTTCTCCTCCTCCTCCACCTCCCCCGCCCCCCCTCACCCTCATCTTCCTCCTCCTCATCCTATTCATCTTCCTCCTTCTCTTCCTTCTCCTCCTCCTCCACCTTCTCCTGTTCCTCCTCATCATCATCATCATCCTCGTCCTCGTCCTCTCCTTTCCTCCTCCTTCTCCTTCTCCTCCTCCCTCCTCCTCCTCCTCCTCTCATCTCCCCTCCTCCTCGTCCCTCCTCCTCTCCTCCTCCTTCTCTTCCTCCGCTTCCTCTTCTTCTCCTTCTCCTCCTCCTCCCTCTCCATCATTTTCCTCCTCCTCACTCGCGCCTCCTCCTCTCCTCCTTCTCCTCTCGTCCTCCGCCTCCTCGTCCTCCTTCTCCTCGTCATAGTCCATCGCCATCGTCCTCCTCCTCCTTCTCCTCCTCCTCCTCCTCCTCCTCCTCCTCTTTCTCTCCTCCTCCTCCCCCTCGTCCTCCTCCTCGTCCTCCTCCTCCTCCCCTCCTCCTCCTCCCCTCCTCCTCCTCCTCCTCCTCCTCCTCCCCCCTCCTCCCCTTCACCCCCCATGCCTCCTTCACCCCTCCTCCTCCTCCTCCTCCTCCTCCTCCTCCTCCTCCTCCTTCTCCTCCGCCTCCTCCGCCTCATCCTCCTCCTCCTCCCTCCCCCTCCTCCCGCCGCCTGGCTGTCCGTTTGTCCGTTCGTCTGTCTGTCTGTCTTCCCAGCTCTCTGAGCCGCGGCGCTGTGAGCTTCTTAGCTCAGGGACGCGTCGGCCAACGCTGCCCTCTCCCTTGTCGGTTGCCCTGACGAGGTTGAGGGAGAGGGTGCCGAAACGCGCCCAGAGTCCAGCAAGGCATGAGGGTGCAAACCCGACTTGCTGGCTGATGCTATGGGGGAGGGCTTGTGCCCAGGGGAGACTGCAGCACCACTCAACGATGTGCTGTTGAACCGAACTTGCAGGGTGGACCCTTTCCCAACTCCGTGCTTCGGTGCGGATCGTCTGCGCGACTCGTCGTCGTCGGCGTCGTCGTCGTTGTCGTCGTCGTTGTCGGTGTCGTCGGCGGCGTCGTGGTCGTGGTGCGTGTTGCTCTGCTCGAGACTACTTGTTTCCCTTATGCAGTGACACCATCACCACCCCCTCCCCCCTCCTCCTCCTTCTCCTCGTCCTCCTCCTCCTCGTCCTCCTCCGCCTCCTCCTCCTCCTCTTGCTCATCCTCCTCCTCCTCCTCTTCCTTCACCGCTTCCTCGTTTGGAGTCCACTGCCCCTCTGTTCTGAATCAGTTGTACAGGAGGGGGTACAGGTACAGAGGACAGAGGAGTCCTCGTCCTCTTTCTCTTCCTGCTCCTCCTCATCCTGCTGCTCCTCCTCCTCCTCCGCCTCCTCGTTCTCCCCGTTCTCCTCCTCTTCCTCCTCCTCCGCTTCCTCCTCCTCCTCTTCCACCTGCATTCATCATCATGCCTCCTCCTCCTCCTCCTCCTCCTCCTCCTCCTCCTCCTCCTCCTGATCCACCTCATCCTCCTCCTTCTCTTCCTCTTCTTCATTATTCCCCTCCTCCTCCGTAGTCATTTTGGTTCAAGATGCTCTGTTCTGCAGGGGAACACGTGGATATCGCTAGTCCGCGGCCAGTGCCAGGGCGCTTCAGCCCGACAGTTTTGTTCCATATCTGGGCGAGGGGTAGGTTGTGCGCTGCCCGCTCGCCATGGCCAATGGTGCGTCTCAGCCAAAGGAGCGTCAAGATTGGCGTTGCCGTGCTTGTGTCAACCCTCGCATTGGGCTGCCTTGGGTTACGTGGGGGAGTCAGCTCAAGTGTCACGGATGCAGGCTGCACATGTCCGCCGTCTATGGGGGCCTTGCCGTCGTTGTTGCCGAGCCGTCGTCTCGTCCGCAGCGGCCAAGTGGGCCCAAAGGGGGCGGCGGCGGCAAGAGTGCGGGCGGCACCTCCGATGTTGTCCCGCGCTCCGAGCCCCCGCAGATGGCCAAGGCGCTGCAGGAAGCCAAGGCGGAGCTTGCGCAGCTGCGCAAAGCCAAGGCTTCGGCGCAGGGCGGGCGGGACGAGGGTGCCACGCAGGTCGAGCCCGAGGAGGCACCCGACCCCGACGCGGGAGCCAAGCTGGCGGTTGATGTCAAGGAGTTGGAGGCGAACCTGCTGGCGGTCAAGGGCGGCATCGACAGCTGGGCGTTGGAGCAGCAGCGGGTTCTGGAGGCGAAGCTGGCGGAGACGCGCAGGAAGCTGCTTGACACCAAGCCGCTCCACGCGCAGGTTCACGCACTCACCAATCGCGTCAAGTCGGGTTCTGCGAAGGTCGCCAAGGCTATTGTCGCGCAGCAGGCGGCGATCGAGCAGGTCACCAAGGCCAACGCTAAGAAGGTCGCGGCTGACGAGCTGGTCGAGAGCCGGCAGAAGCATCAGCTGGAGCTGGAGGGCGAGTTGGGCCGATTGCAGGCCTCGCTTGGACGGGCTCCTGAGCCTGCTGACGGTGCTGGGGCTTCTCTCCCTTGTCTGGGGGTCAAGATGGAGGAGCTGGAGCAGATCGGCACCAAGCTCACCCAGGACTCACAGCTCAACGCGGAGGCGCAGAAGAGGCTCGCGGAGGGTATCGGGGGCCAGATCAACGAGCTCATCGTCTCCAAAAGGCCACGTCTCCAAGGGGCTGAAGCGGTTTCTGCAGAAGAGGCGGTCTCTGAAGCAGCCGTTCTTGCCGTCCAATGGGGTCCCGACTCTGTCGGCTCCCCTGTGCTGCAGAAGACCATGGAGGGCCTCGGTGCATACGCCACGGAGGCAGAGTTGCGCGAGAGGGCCAGGAGGTTGGCGCAGGGCGGGTACAAACCGTTCTACCTACACTGCTTCCTGGATGGTGCTGGTTACTTGTTGCTTGTGCAAAAAACTTGGCGAAAGGTAATATTATGACTACGAATATCACGTCCTGGGGCTCAGCGGCTGCGTGTCTGGAGGCCATGCCCCCCCAAGACAATGGTCATCGCCATGCAGGAGCATCGCATCCAGGACGTTGATAAGTTGGCGAGCTTCCAGGGCGAGGTCGCAGACTTTGGATTTTCTGGCACATGGGTGCCTGCTGTGATTAGTGGTACGTCTGAAGCAGGGACCTCGGCGGGAGTGGCGATTTTGGCGAGGACGTCGATCACCATAACCTGGCTTCCCTTCACCAGGGACCCAGTTCTCTATCCAGGGCGCCTCGTTGCGGCACATGCCCATTGGGGCGTGCGAGGAGGCTTGGTCATTCTTTCTATCTACTTGGTCGATTCAGTAGGTCTCGACGATCAGAACAAGCGCATTCTGTGGATTGTGGCGAGTTACTTGGCGAAGTTGGAGGCTGCGCAGATGGATTACATTGTCTGTGGAGACTTCAACATGTCGAAAGAGAAACTGGAGGACTCCAGCCTCGCCAACATCGAGGCGCTCTTTGCGGTGCCTCGAGCTACGACGCGTCGACCCTCGCAGATTGAGAAGGGGTCCACCATCGACTACTTCATGCTGAGTGCCAACCTGGCGCCTCGTGCACGGGAGCCTCGGGCGCAGGAGGACAGGACCGCATCCCCACGCCTTCCTGTGCATCTTGAGCTGGCCTCAGACGACCTCGACCTCAAGGTTAGGGTGCCTGTCATGCCGCCCCCCATTCCCGCTGCACCTCCCGTGGGTTGTGCTCGGGGGGCCGAAGGTTGGGGGCCTGCGCTTGCTGCTGTGCGGGCAGTGGCGGACGCACAGGGCTTGTCTGCTGCTTGGGACAAGGTCCTCTCCACGGTGGAGTCGGAGCTGCTTGACAGATTCGACGTCGCGGGCGCTCGCAGGAGATTTCATGCTGTGCGTGTTGGCGGGATCGAAACCACGCTCAAGGCGGTCGGGTGGGTTCCACCCGCACGCAGAGTACGTTTGGGAAAGGAAGCGCAGGCGATGGAGGTTGCGGCCAGGTGGGCGCGGCATCTAATGGGGGTTCGTGCTTTTCGTCAAAGGGAACTTCTTCTCCTGCACAGAGCTGAACTCACGTGTGCGCTGGCGCCACAGAGTTTCAGTAAGGTCGCGATTTTCTTGCTGGAAGCATATGCTTATTTGGATAAGATAAGTTTGCATAGTACAGTTCTATCCCACCTGGCCAGCGAAGAGCAGGCCTTCTTCAAAGGGGGCATTTGCGGTCTCAGCAGGGGTGTCTTTGAGGTGGTGGCCAGCAGAATTGTCGAGCGCTGCAAGTTGAGGTATGACAAGATGTTTGAGGTCAAACAGGCGGATTGGGTCAGCTTCGCGAAGGGCAGCTTCGTGCGGGGGGGGGGCAGCAGGGCCCATCGCATCACAAAAACCAAGGAGCTGCAGTCTGTGTTATCCTGTTGGGGGTGCCGCAACACTACCGCGTCCCCTCGCCGAGCTCGTGATCGCGAGATGGTTCCATGGGCTAAGATATGGCGCTGTCACGATCAGCAACAGCTGGAGCTGCCCGGGGATGCCGCCCAGTGGCTTGCCTTTCCCGTCATCGCGGTTAGCGCGATGAGGCATGTCGTTTCTTCTTTCTCGGCGTCCACGGCTATAGGGCCTGGAAGGATTGCGGCGCGTGTTTTCCTCATGTTGTCGGGCGAAGGTCTTTATGTTCTTGCGGCGTTGTTCGAGCGGTGCGAAGGCCTCTTTGCCTGGCCAGATGCACGATTTTGGCATGAGATGGTGAGGCTTCCGAAGCCTAGTGGAGGTTGCAGACCCATTACGCTCATGGACAGCATGATCCGTATATGGGCTCGAGTAAGGGCCCCTGTCTCTCGCAGCTGGGTTGTCGCACATCCCAGCGCGGATATATGGGGGCTCGGCTCGGGACGCACATCTTCAGACTCTGCTTTCCAGCTCAATTTGGAGGCGGAGATCGCGGAGGCCACCCAGCAGAAGCCCCTCACGGTCCTCATGGGCGCGTTCAAGTTCTTTGTGGCGATCAAGCCGCTGGCGCTGCTCAACGAGGCGAGGGCCGTTGGCATGGACCTCGGACTGGTGTGGATGCTGCTTGAGTTGGATCGGCAACCGCGTCGGTTGCGAGCTTTTGGGTCAGTATCAGAGCAGGTCATTGCGTGGCAAGGCATATTGGCTGGTTGCTCCCACGCTTGCTTTTTGGTTTCGGTGCTGCTCCGCAGGCTGCTGGCTGGAGTTCGGTCTTCGTCAGTCATACCTCGGGCCCTGATCGATGACATCAGCCTACAGTGGATTGCGCCGTCGATTCAGCAGTTGGAGCACCTGTGGAAGGTAGTCGCACGTTTTCGCGAGGGCGCCAAAAGCCTGGGCATCATTATTCAGGTCGAGAAGTCGGGTTATGTGCCTTCCAGTACTTCTGTGGCTTTGGCGTGCAAGAAGTATGGCGGGGCCAAGGGCCTCAGATGCAAGAGCTGGACCCGCAACCTTGGGCGCGATCTATGTGGAGCGCGCATAGTTAGGCGGCTCACTTCGCAGCGTATTGCTGGGATCGTTGCTCGCCGCCGCCGCTTGCAGATGCTTCAGAAGGTCACTGGCAGGAAGGTCGTGAGCTTGTGGCAAACTGGACTTCTTCCTAGTGCGGGCCATGGAGCTGGTGTGTCTGGCCTCTCGGACACGCATCTCCAGCAGGTGCGTGCCGAGGCTGACCGCCTCGTCTGCGCACGCTGTACCTCGCGACGCAGAAGGCAAAGGAGTTCGACCCGATCTATATGGCCTCGTGGGACATCATACGCAGGTACGCGGCCACCGTCTGGGAGCAGAGGACGTCGCTGAGCAAGCTGCATAACGCCTGGGCGCATATCACCACCCATATGGTGTGGCAAGACAAGGCGACGTGGACCTATGCGAGAGGTCCGATCGCGGCGACGATCCTAACCCTAAGGCGCATAGATTGGTACATGCATTCGTCGACGGTATAGACGTTTAATCTCATGGCCATCAGTCCCCGAGACCTGAGGTGCCACCTGGTCGAGTCGATCGAGCGATGGCAAGGGGGGCGTATCATGTCTCGTTTCGAGCACCCGTTGGGCGAGAATGCTGTGCTGTGGGTTCGAGCACTACGGCAGTGTCTTGGTGCCAAGTCGGCGGCGGTCTCTGAAGGCCCAACGGCATCCAGCTTGCGCGCGCACTGGGCTGGGGTTCCTTGGGCCAGGCAGGCCAAGCACGACATGGAGCTGGCAGGTTCGGCGTCTTGCCTGGCGCGAGGTGCGCCGAGCGACTCACCTGGGCACAGGTTCTTCGGTTGCGAGGAGGTGCTGGCCCCAGCGGACGACACTGAGGTCGCAGGAGAGGTTGTGCCCGACAAGTTCGTGGAGATCCGTGACTTCATGCATGGCAAGGGGTTGCAGACTTCTTTCGACAACTTCGAGGTGGGGGTGTGCCTGCCTTGTGCGCCGCCGTCCCTCCCGAAGGTCACAACGGGCCTGCCGACGCACTTCTGGGGCGACTGGGACACCGAGGAGCTGCAGTTCGGCAACGTGGTCTACACTGACGGCTCGGGGTTAGCGGCGGCAATACCAGAAATACGACGGTGCGGGTGGGCAGCTGTGCAGATGTCAGCGCAGGGCTGGCCGCTTCGGGCTGTGTACGGGCCTTTACCAGGGCCTTTGCAGACGGTCGGCAGGTCGGAGAGGTACGCGCTCCTCATGGCCGTGCGGCACTTCGGTGCCAAGCTGGAGTTAGTGCTCACTGACTTGCCGGCGCTGGAGTCGGAGGCGGCATCGCGGGGTCCAGAGCTTGAGGGAGCTGCTGCTGCTCATGCGACGGTCTGGCGCTCCCTCCGTGCCCAAGGAAGGAGACCGCAGGTTCACTGGATCCCCGCCCACCGCAGCATCGAGGACTACATCGAGCGCGACCTCAGCCCAGCACATTACCTGGGCAACATGTGGGCCGACTGGTTTGCCAGGCGCGGTGCAGATTCGCACGCGCCGCCCAAGGTCTATGAGGAGATCTACAAGGCGGAGATCGTCTTTGCCAAGAAGGTTGCCTCGTACATCGGCTGGGCCATGCAGCGCGCACTGAAGGTGGGCAAGTGGGAGCCTGATGTGTCGGACGCACCGTCGCGTCTCAAGGAGTTCAAGCAGCCGCCTGTGCAGGTCACGACCTACGTTGTGGCCAAGCTGCGAGATGGCTCTTTTGTCTGCAGGCGCTGCGCGCGACGTTCCAGTTCGGTGTCAAGGGAGGCGTGGAACTTCTACCTTCGTGCTCCGTGCTTGGCCAACAGGGTGGACGAGCTGCGCGCGGAGGCCATGATCCAGTTCTGTGGCGCCACCGGGGTCCAGATCTCTGCCGCAAGTGCTTTTGCCATGGGCGCTCTTGATCGTGCTGAGTGTGAGGCAACTGGCGATGGCTGGGAGTCCACGCCTGGCCTTGATCGCGCTGCCGAGCCGCTGGTCTCAGAATGGCACTCCGCCGACATGCACGTCTGCAATGGGCATCGGCTCCGTCGCGCGGGGCCCACCGTCTTCTGCGAGGTGTGCGTGGCATGGTCGGGCGGAGGCGTGTCCAAGCAGCTGATGGCCAGCTGCGGAGGCGCGCCCACTGGAGAGGCGAAGGGGAAGACCTACCTCTCCAACATCAAGTCGAGGAGGAAGCGGCTCCTCCGTGGCCTTCACCCGAAGGAGGGCGTTGAACTCACGTTGCGTGCGCCAGTCGCTGACGCACTCGAAGCAGCGGCTGCTGGACTGCCTGCAGGTCTTGCGGGGCATGTACCCCGCGCTGATCCAGGGTGTGGTTCAGGCCGTGAAGCTCGGGCGGCGGCTGGCGTGAATTCATGATGGAGGTGTTTGACCACGCCATGTCATGCGCTGCGAGTTCGCCCACTTCTTCGACGGCAACTCCGCGCACTTCATTTTACGGCCCGGTTGGCTCCCTAGTGGAGTGCAGCGGGAGCGGCGTCCTCGGCTACGCTGATGGCCCGTTTGGCCCGCTTCTCGGGGGCGGGCCCGCGGTGCTGTTCGTGGTGGACGCCGTCCTCGCCCTCGCCTGAGGACTGGCCGCTTCGGCCGTGCCGCCAGCTGTTCGTCCTGACGGACGGCTGCGCCAGGCCTCGCCCCTCGCCCCTCCTTCTCTTCTCCTCCTCCACCTCCCCCCCCCCCCCTCACCCTCATTTCCTCCTCCTCATCCTCTTCCTGGTCCTCCTCCTTTCCCTCCTCTTCCTCCTCCTCCTTCTCCTCCTCCTCCTCCTCATCATCAGCATCATCATCATCGTCCTCGTTCTCCTCCTCCTCCTCCTCCTCCTCCTCCTCCTCCTCCTCCTCCTCCTTCCTCCCTCCTTTTCCCCTCCTCTTCGTCCCTCCTCCTCTCCCTCCTTCTCCTCCTCCGCTTCCTCCTCCTCCTCCTCCTCCTCCTCCTACTCTTCCTCTCCCTAATTTTCCTCCTTCTCCCTCCTCCTTCTCCTTCTCCCCTCCTGCTCTCATCATCATCATCATCATCATCATCCTCATACCTCGTCCCTCCTCCTCTCTTCCTCCTCCGCTTCTCCTCATCCCCCTCCTCCTCCTCCTCCTCCTCTTCCCTCTCCTCCTCGTCCTCCTCCTCTCTCTCCTCCTTCTCCTCCTCCGCTTCCTCTTCCTCCCTCTCCTCTTTCCTCTCCATCATGCTCCTCCTCCTTCTCCTCGTCCTCCTGCTCCTCGTCTTCTTTCTCCGCGTCATAGCCACCGCCATCGTCAGCGTCCTCCTCCTCCTCCTCCTCCTCCTCCTCTCCTCCTCCTCGTCCTCCTCCTCCTCCTCCTCTCCTCCTCCTCCCCCCCCCGGCCTCCTCCTTCACCCCCCATGCCTCCTCTGGCCTCCCACCCCCCTCCTCCTCCTCATCCGCCTCCTCCACCTCCTCCTCCTCCTCCTCATCCTCATCCTCTTTCACCGCCTCCCCCTTCTCCTGTTCCGCATCATCATCATCAGTACCATCATCATCATGATCACCATCGCGATCAGCATCATCAACATCATCATCATCGTAATCATCATCATCAACATCAACATCAACAACACTCATCATCACCATGATCATCATCAGCATTATCATCAGCACCATCATCATCCTCACCAGCATCATCATTGTTACCATCACCATCAGGACAGGTGCTTCCTGCTGGTGAGCCTCCTGATGGTGATCTTGCTGCTTCAGGTTTTCCCCAGCTGTCTGTAGGTGGGAGCTCGCACTCCTAGACGTTTGTAACATAGTGATGACTCGTTCGTGCAGTCGATCTCGAATCATGCTGGAGCCACGCATTCACTTGTTCGCCAAATTGTTGCTTTGAGGTCACAACTGGCCACGATTGACGATGACATGGGGTCTGTTCCTCTGACCTGGCAGCTGTTCGCGAGAAGAGAGAACTCCGCAGGAAACTTTCATGCTACTGTGGACAAGGTTGGCCGAATGCGCGACGATGTGAAGCACCAGCTCGAGCTCCCAGTGTCGGCGCTGTCCTCGCTGAAGCTGCCGAGCGGGAAAACATCGTCATCAGCAGCAGCATCATCATCAGATTATTTCTCCTCCTCCTCCTCCTCCTCCTCCTCCTCCTCCCCCTGCCTCCTCCTGCCTCCTCCTGCCTTCTCCTCCTCTTCATCCTCCTCCTTCTCCTCCTGCTCCTCCTACTCATCCTCCTCCTTCTCATCCTGCCTCCTCCCTTTCCTTCTCCTCCACACCTCCACCTCCTCCTCCTCCTCCCCCTCTTCTCCTCCTCTCCCTCCTCCTCCTCCTCCTCCTCCTCTTCCTCTCTTCCTGCCTCCGGCCCTCCTCCCTCATCCTGCCTCCTCCTCTGTCCTTCTCCTCCACCTCTCCACCTCGTCCCCTCCTCCTCCTCCTCCTCCTCCTCCCTCCTCCTCTCTCCTCCTCCTCCTCCTCCTCCTAGCCATCCTGCTCTCCCTCCTCCTCCTTCCTCCTCTCCTCTCCTCGTCTCCTCCTCCTTTTCCTCCTCTTCCTCCTCCACTCTCTCCTCCCTCCTCTGGCTCCTCCTCCTCCTCCTCCGCCTCCTCCTCCTCCTCCTCCTCCTCCTCCTCCTCCTCCTCCTCCTCCTCCTCCTCCTCCTCCTCCTCCCCCGCGCCTCCTCTTCCCCTTCCTCCTCGTCCTCGTCGTCCTCGTCCTTCTCGTCGTCTTCCTCCTCCTCCACCCCTTGCCTCCTTCTACCTTCTCCTCCTCCTCCTCCTCCTCCTCCTCCTCCTCCGCTTCCTCCCCCTCCTCTTCCTCGTCCACCTCCGTGGCAATTTTGGTTCCAGGCACGGCGTTCCGCCCGCGACCGGCGCGCGCGGTCCGCGATGGCGCGGGAGAGGTTGACTGGAGTGGCTGCTGCTAGGGCGGCAGCTGACAACCTGGCCAGACGGCTGACGCGCGAGCTGGCCGCCGCGCATCAAAGATCGACAGGTCGAAAAGGCAGCTCGCGGGCGCTGCGGACGGCGAGGCGGAGGCCGAGGCTGTCCGCCGTGAAGCCATCGCGCGACCCGCCCTTCTCGCGCGGGCCCGCGGGGAGCGCAAGCAGCGCAAGCAGCGCAACGTTGCGTGGCGCGCGCAGCGGTGCCCAGAGACGGGGGCGCCGATGAGGGAGTGGCGCCGCGCGGAGAGAGGGTGGCCCGCCGACTGTGGCCAAGGCTGCAACCAGTGCAAGGCGGGCTCGGCCACGCATGCTGCTCAGAGGCGATGCGGAGCCCTTCCTGCCCCAGGGCCACGGCGAAAAGTTCAAGCTGAACTGCGAGGAGGGCGAGCGGATCGCCCCGTTCGCGGCCCTCGACAGCGCCGCCGGGCCTAGCTCGCCCGAGGGCTCCAACCAGTTGCCAGGCAGCAGCCTCGCCGTGATCGGCGCCAATGTGGACGAGACCTGCTTCGAGGCGGGCTCCGACGCCCACGGCCGCAGTTCGGCCTTCGCGGAGAAGGGCGGCGAGCAGCTTCAGCGGGGCGGCGGCTTCGTCCAGGAGGGCGCGGTCGATTACCAGGAAAGGCGGCGACTCCGTCGACGGCACGATGGAGGACCAGGACGCCCTGGGGGACGGCAGCGCCGCTCACGACGCCGAGCTGCGGCGCTTGATCCTGGACGCCCGTGCGCGGGCGGACGCGGCCGCATCGGCTGTCGCCCGCGCAGGCGCCGACGCAGGCCACGCCCATTTCGAGCTCGAGGCGGCGGCCGACCGCATGGTAGAGATCGAGGGTCGCCTGGCCCACGCGGCGCCCGTGGAGCCGAGGGCGGACGCAGGCCGCGGGCGTTCGCCCCCTGGCCCATGGGCGACAAACCACGTATACGGCGGTTCCGAGGAAAGCTCCCACGCCGTGCCCTTCGTCTCGGAGAGTCCCGACGGCGACGGGCGCTCAGCCGCGGCGGCCGAGCCAGCGCCGGCTGCGGCCCAGCGTAGCGCGGACCTGACCGCGCTCTTTGCCGCGCTCGTGGCGGAGATCCGCGACTCCAGAAGCGAGGCGCCGGGCGGCCGCTGAAGGAGGCCGAGGGCGGCATGGCGAACTCCGTGTTCGAGGTCGGCGTCGGCAAAGGCTGGGGTTACACCCAGGCTCGGCCTACGCTACCTTAGGGACCCCGAAGAAGTCCCGAGTCGGGCGAATTCAGTTGCATTGACCTGTTTAGTCTAGTCTAGCCTCCTCCTCCTCCTCCTCCTCCTCCTCCTCCTCCGCCTCCTCCTCCTCCTGTCCCTCGGCATTTTCCGCACGAGGAATTGACCACCTGCACGTATTGATGAATATAGGGACAGGAAGGACAAGCATTCGTTGGAGAAACAGCTTGCCCGACCACAACCCAAACACGCTGACCAGAAAGGCGGGTGACCTGCAATCGAATATTGATTGTTTCCAAAACTTACAAATCAACGAATCAGGGAAATGGACAAACATGCGTGCACACCAAACGAGTTGAACCATGACGCTGTGCACAGTTCGGCGAGCGTCCATCGTAGCTGAAGGGGACTATATGCCGACGGGCCGCGTCTCACAAAACTGCTGCCACTGCCCGCTCTTCTCGCACGTGCTGATCCAAGCATTGTAGCTGAAAACGGTTGGCGCATACTTCGCCTCTCCGCCTCGCTCAGCAACGACACCACCCGCAGCCTCTGCAACGACACCACCCGCAGCCTCTGCTTGCCCTTCTCGCACGCTCTGAATCAGGCGTTGTGGCCCAAGCTCTGAGCGCTGACCCCCTGCGGTATGATACGTGAAAACGCGGCGATGGGCCGCGACATGTTCTCGCAGCTTGCAACATCGCCACACGTTGACCACCAGACAAATGTTAGCACTAAATGCGGATCCCTTGAAAACCCAGAACGGCAAAACTAGCAAACATTGATCGTATTCGCTCCGCTTAGCCACTGGGAAAGCTGTCGCTGAACAAGGATGCTGCCCAGCGCCCCTCAAGCGCCGACGTGGAGGCGAGGAGCTGGGTGTTCCGTGGCCAGTTCGAGCCCAAATTGGTAAGACGCGCGCCTAGGGCCACCTGTGCTTGACTGGATGAGAGGGGGGGGGGAGGGGAGGAAGAAGAAGACGAATAAACACAAAACGAAGAAGAAGAAGAAGAAACAGGTGAAGCAAAACAAGAAGAAGAATAATAATAAGAAGGAGAGGAGGAGGAGGAGGAGGAGGAGGAGGAGGAGGAGAGGAGGAGGAGGAGGAGGAGGAGGAGGAGGGTTCTGCTGGATTCTGCTGTTGTGCCACTCGCGTGGCGCTCCGCCTCGGCCCCTGGGGTCGCAGGAGGGGCACGAGCCGAGCCTCCGGGCCACCAGGCAGGCTGAACAGGAGCCTCCGCGACAGCACAGCCCTGTCTTGCTGCCCCATGGGGTTGCAGGAGGGGCAGGACACGCACACGCGCACACACACACACACACGCACACACACACACACACGCGCGCACGCGCACGCACGCACGCACGCACGCACGCACGCACGCACGCACGCACACACAACACACACACACACACAACACACACCAAACACACACACACCGCGCACGCACGCGCGCGCACGCGCGCACGCGCGCACACACACACACGCGCGCGCACTGCGCACGCGAACGCGCATGCGCACGCGCACGATCGCACAGCGCCGCGCAACGCGCACGCGCACGCGCACGGCGCACGCGCAACATCGCACGCACGCCCACAACGCGCGCACGCCCACCCCCCCCCCCACCCACACACACACACACACACACACACAACGACACACACACAACACACAACACGCGCCGCCACCGCCCGCCGCGCGCACGCGCGCACACAACTCCGCGCGCGCCGCACGCGCACGCGCACGCGCACGCGCATGCGCATGCGCACGCGCACGCGCACGCGCACGCGCACGCGCACGCGCACGCACACACGCACACACGCACGCGCACACACGCACACACGCGCACACACGCACACACGCACACACGCACACACGCACACACGCACACACGCACACACGCACACACGCACACACGCACACACGCACACACGCACACGCACACACGCACACACGCACACACGCACCACGCACCACGCACACGCACACGCACACGCACACGCACACGCACACGCACACGCACACGCACACGCACACGCACACGCGCACGCGCACGCGCACGCGCACGCGCACGCGCACGCGCACGCGCACGCGCATGCACACGCGCACGCGCACACGCACACGCACACGCACACGCACACGCACACGCACACGCACACGCACACGCACACGCACACGCGCACGCGCACGCGCACGCGCACGCGCACGCGCACGCGCACGCGCACGCGCACGCACGCACGCAAGCACGCGCACACGCGCACACGAACCTCCGCAACTGCACAGTCCGTTTCTGCTGCCCCCTGGGGTCTACGGAGGGGCACGAGCCTCCGCGTCCCCAGGTGCGACCGCCGCAGGAGGAGCGCGAGCCTCCGCGGCACCGAAACTTTGCTCGTCTTCTCCTCCTCGTCCTCCTCCATCTCCTCCCTCCTCCTTTCTCCTCCTCCTCCTCCTCCTCCTTCTCCTCCTCCTCCTCCTGCCTCCTCCTCCTCCTCTTTCTCCTCCTCCTTCTCATCCTCCTCGTCTTCTCGGGCGGGAGGCCACGCTTCCCCTGGACTTCCCGCCGCTCGGCCTCTTCCAGAGCCGACACATCCTCGACCATCGCTCGAAAGGCGTCCTCGAAGTTGGCCTCCGCACGCGCCAACGCGACCTCGGCCATCACGACGCGTACGTCGTGTTTCCTGGCGTACTGGGCCACGGCGTCCGCAAGGGCGGGCTCAGCGCCAGCCGCACAGGGGCCAGCAACATCGGCCATCGTCATCAGTTGCTGCTGCAGCTTATCATTCGCATCAGGCTTGAGGGCGCCCACGCCAGACTGACGCACGGCTAGCAGCTCCGACAAGGTCTGCATGGCCGCCTTCAGTTCGGTGCTTTTGCCCTCGAGCTCCGCGTCGGTGTACTCCCCGAGCACGTGCTTATCCAGCTTCCACACATCCGCGATGCCTCTTCCCCAGGACCAACAAGGGCGGCATACCCGCTGCGTGCATGCCCTTCTTGGCCTTGGAGGCCACGTCGTACCTCGTGTCTTTCCTTGCCGCTGCTCGTGGTCTCGCGCTCCGAGGTCTCGGTCGACTCGGATTCAAGGCCCTCCGCCACTTGCTCGGTGGGGTGCCTCGTTGTGTGCCACACGCTTGGGCGAGCACCAACGCTATGGTGGGAGGCCTGGTTGCGCAACGTCCTGCCGCTCCCAGGGATGTTGGCGCGCAAACCGCGTCCACTTGCCTGGACGTGTTTCTGGATGACAGGCTCGATGGCCTTCATCCTCTCCCCCATCTCGACCTGCTCGGCGGACGACTCCGCAACACCCTGCAGCACCTGCGCCGCCACGCGGACGCACGCCGCCGTCGCAGCCATTGATGCCCGTTGGCTACCGCCCGCAGCGCCACGCATGACTCCCGCAAGCTGGCCGCGCAATGGGCCACCGGGCGGGGGATAGCTGCAGCATTTGAGCCAAAATGGCTACGGAGGAGGGGGAAGAAGGAGGAGGAGGAAGAGGAAGAGGAAGAGGAGGAGGAGGGGGAGGAGGAGGAGGAGGAGGAGGAGGAAGAGGAAGAGGAAGAGGAGGAGGAGGAGAGGAGGAGGAGGCGGAGGAGGAGGAGGAGGAGGAGGAGGAGGAGGAGGAGGAGGAGGGGGAGGGGGAGGGGGAGGGTGGCGTCAAGGGAGGACCGAGGACCCGCTCCTATTTTTTTTGGGGGGGTCAGCAGCGAAGGCGAGCGCCAACGCGTTCGAAGGCTGGCGGGCCGCGCGCGGCTAGGGCGCACTGGACAAGAGGACAAGAAGAGGGTGGCCGCGGAGGGGGAAGGCGGGGGAGGCCTCAGGCGCAGATCCAGTCGGACCGAGGCACACGATCGAGGTCGGTTCGGGGAGGGTGCCCAAGTGTCCTTTGTGCTTCTTGGATGTTCTCGTGCATCCCGAGGAGGGCAGCCCTAGATGTCTTGCTTGTCTTGGCCGCCGGATGGCCTCATGCTCTCGAGGGATGCTTCTCTGGCCCAGGTCCGACTGCAGGCGTAGAGTGACGAACGGACCACACGCACCCATACCCATAGGGGGGTCGTTGGGAGGAGGACTGGCTATGGGTATGGGTGCGGGTTGTCGGACCCTGGGGAACGCTCCCGTTCGAGCGTGGACCCCCCTAACGCACACATAGCCCTCTCCGATCCCCCTATGGGTATGGGTGTGTGCTGTTGGTTCGTCATAGAGAGTCCACGCCGCGAGGAGTGCGCGGGCGGCCGATGGGGTCCTGCGGCCGGCGCGTGAAACCGGAAGCCAGCCTGCCAGAGGGTGCCCCACTGGTTCCTCTTGTCCCTCCACGGCTTTGGGCCCCCCCAAGAGCTCCGGGGCGCCTTGGGAGGCTCGGATGCCGACGTCAATTGTGCCCCTGGATTTCTTGCAGCAGGATCTTCTTAGTGCGTGTGCCTGCTGTCGGAGGATGGAGAGGAGATGGAGGATGGCGACGCGCAGGAGGAGGAGGAGGAGCAGGGATGGCTGCGTCGCTTCCGACCCTGAAGTCAACAGCGAAAGCGAAAGCAGGAGGAGGATGGGAAGGAGGAGGAGGAGGCTGAGGAGGAGCAATGACCAGCAGTCTTAGCAACAGGGGGCCCTTCTGGCGGCTGCTCTCACTCCCCGCACGCAGGGCGCGGCGTTCGACAGCTTATCTAAAGGGTTTCGCCCACTGCTAGCCTGTGATGCTGGGTCGACGATTGAAATGGTGAGTTGATTGGAAGAATGGTTGGCAGGCTGGCTGTCTGGCTGGACAGTTGGCGGGCTGGCTGTCCAGTTGGTTAACCGAAGGACTCGTTGGCAGGCTTGCTGGCTGGAGGCTGACTGGGTGGCGGGCGGGTTCGGAGTGCGGATCCATAGTTTGTTGCTGAGGATCGTGGCCTCGGGAGTGCAGACACGATGTTTTTGTTCACAGGGGAGCGCGACTTGTAGCTCTCTGCAAGGGATCATGGCCTTGAACGGGTTGTGACCTCGGGAGCGCGGTTTTACGGGTGTTGTTGTTGTTGTTGTTGTTGTTGTTGTTGTTGTTGTTGTTGTTGTTGTTGTTGTTGTTGTTGTTGTTGTTGTTGTTGTTGATGCTGTTGTTGTTGCTGTTGCTGTTGATGTTGATGTTGCTGTTGTCGTTGTTGTTGTTGGTGTTGTTGTTGTTGCTGGTGTTGCTGTTGCTGTTGATGTTGTTGGTGTTGTTGTTGTTGTTGGTGGTGGTGTTGCTGTTGCTGCTGCTGTTGTTGTTGTTGTTGCTGTTGTTGTTGTGGTTGTTGTGGTTGTGGTTGTTGTTGTGGTTGTGGTTGTTGTTGTGGTTGTTGTTGCTGTTGTTGTTGTTGTTGTTGCTGTTGTTGTTGCACTGTATCGTGACCTCGGGATCGCCGACCCAGAGTTCTTGCTGTGAGGGGTCGTCGCTCTGTTTCCGAGCGATCCTGGCCTCGGGAGCCGAGCGCGCTTCGGGGGCCGCGGAACCACTTGTGTCCATACAGTCGGGGCCCTGAAGAAGGAACCCTTTTCGTTGGGGAGGGGCTCCGTGTTCCTTGATTGTTTCACAGCTTGCCTCAGGTTTTCCCAAGGTTTTCGATGGGGAATCGAAGTTTAACCTATGGGAAAGGAGGGGCCTCGTTCCTTATTTAGGGTTCCTTAGGCCAACGCCCCGACTGTAGCGGATCTCGGCTTCGGGAGCGCGGATCCGTAGCAGTGTGCCCAGGAGCTGAAGGAACGCGGCTCGGGCGAGGGGAGACTTCGCTTTCAGCCGAGGAGGTTTCAGGAGGGAAAGAAACACACAGACACAATTAATCGTCGATTCCCAGGATGCGAAAATATTGGAAGTGGGGGGGAAGACAGAAACCGTGAAAACATAGGAAACTATGGGGAATCCTTTGATTTGTGTGTATTTGTTTGTGTGTCCTTGGGCCCTTTCAAGGTTGCTTCCAGAATCTCGGCATCCCACCTTCCGAGGAACTGCGCAGCTCTGTGCTCGCAGGACGGGTGACCAGAAGATCACGTTTGCCGAGATGCCGAGCTCCTCAGGGAGAGTGCAGAGTTGTGCATATTGCCGCACTGCGGTGACGGAAACCGAGCTGCGGACCCAGTTGCTCAAACATATGCTTCCCAGCCTGGGGGGCCAGCGGATCTAGCGAGCTCGCGGCCTGGCTGTCCCCTCTGTCCCCGAGAGGAATTGTGGCACCGACCCTCTTCGTCCTCTTCTTCCTGTCCGCCCTCCTCCTCCTCCTCCTCCTCCTCCTCCTCCTCCTCCTCTACCTCTGCCTCTACCTCTACCTCCTCCCTCCTCCTCCTCCTCCTCCTCCTCCTACCTCCTCCTCCTCCTCCTTCCTCCTCCTCCTCCTCCTCCTCCTCCTCCTCCTCCTCCTCCTCCTCCTCCTCCTCCTCCTCCTCCTCCTCCCTCCTCCTCCTCCTCCTCCTCCTCCTCCTCCTCCTCCTCCTCCTCCTCCTCCTCCTCCTCCTCCTCCTCCTCCTCCTCCTCCCCCTAGGCAAGACATTCTGCGCCGAAGGGCCTCCGACGAGCAACCGAAAAGGCGAACAGCCGAACGAGTTACGGTACGGGCCCAGTGGCCAGCACTCTGAGCACTCGGGAAGTGCCCATTGCCGTGTGTTTGTGTTCGCCTTGTCCGAGCTTGGCCCAGATGTTCCTGGCCCAACCTGGCAAATTTCTAGGGCAGGCATTGGACAGACACACCGCAGCGAGAGCAACCAACTAGGACGACATCGTCCTGCAAGCTGAAATTCATCCAGGCATGTGGCCCCTCGCCCCTCTCACGGAGTGCCCGGGACGCTGCGGATACACGAGAAACGATGCTTTGGGGAAGGGCTTCCCGCACAAGCTGGAGTTGCGGGACATCACCACCCACCAAACCACCCCAACCCAACCCGAAGGTCTCGATTTGCCCTCCATTCCCAGTTGGGGGGTATGGAACCCGTACCCCCCCCCCCAACTCGAAATTCGGGTATTCGGGTTGGGTTGGGGTGGTCTGGTAGGTAGTCAGGACAGGGGGCGTTCCACGTTGGAGGGAGGGAGGGCGCGAGGAGTCAGGAAGCTCTTCCCCCACCCTGCCCACCCACTCCACCCAGGACCCTGGGACTTTGGAACGGGAGGCGACGGTGGCGGCCTGCGGCGGCGGCACTCGGAAGGCCCGGGCCGCCCGTCGTGCGTGTTTGTCGGCAATATCACTGCCGAGTTACCTCGGATGGGCCATCGCCGTGGGATGTCCTTTGTCTCGTGCTACGCCCCCGTCTCGGGCACGGCCAATGCGGACGCTAGAGATGCGTTCAACGCAGAGTTACGACATGTCAAATCCTTGGTGAGAGGACACGACAACTTGCTCATCGTGGGAGGCGACTTCAAGAAACTCTGCCCGAGCTAACATCGGCGCGCGTGGAGTGGGCTGGGACTTTCACGACTCGAGCCGACGAGCACGACTCCGAACCGTCGAACCTCCAATCCGCGAGCCCAGCCCACACCTCGCGCCAGGGAGAACAGTGGGAGTTCAGCACCTGTGCGGTATGGAGCTGGCCCCTGGACATGACTCCGTCGACAACGTAGTTGGAGTCAGTGTGCAAGATTCGGGGAGGACAAGCATGCTCAGGACACTCTAGAAAGACTCTCAACTCTGCTCTCCTTAATCGTGGCAGAGGCGGAGAATACTGGGCCGCAAATCAAAGCAGTGACCTCGCGGAGGGCTCTGGCTCCTCTCGCTAGTGCAGCAACGGACCAACCTCCAGCGGCCCAGGGTCCCATATCACCTTCGAACGTCGAGCTATCAGCAGAAAGCTCCAGTGAGCCGATCAGGGGACCCGTGAGCACAGAGCAGAGGAGGGAGGTCGGGCAAGTGGGGACGCTCCAAGAGCGGCATGTGCATCAGACATCTCTCGGCGAGCAGCCGCTGTAGGGCCACCGTTGCGGGCGGCTTCACCGAGAGACTGACAGAACACGTGCGGCTCAACAAGCTTCAAAGCGCGCTCTGCGCATGTGCAAGGCCTGCGCAACAACGCGCCGACTCTCATGCTGTCCGCGGCCTGCCACGCTAGGCAGCGTTGCTCGGCAGGGCGCCCAGCCTCTCCCTGTCTCGACATTGGCTACCCGGCTCCGGTGACGCACGAACGCACATACGAACGATGCTGCGGCAGAGCCTTGGAGCGCGAAAAGGAGAGATAGGAGCGAGGAGCACACCGGCACGAAACTCAGGCGCTGCAGCGTGCTCGGCTACCTTCGCGCACTCCGAAAGACAAAACAGCTCGCAAGACGTGCTGCTTGACTGCACAGGGGCAGGCCTCAGAGGCATTCGTAAGTCGATCTTCAGAAAAGCTCCAGGGCTCCAGAGAGTGCGTTCGAATACCCACCCCATGTAGAGAATCCCAAAGAGTAGTGACAGGCCCAGCTATGGATTCCCATGGGTACTTGAAGAGGTTGAGATGGGTATCCATTTGCCTGGGGCTCTCATCGAGGACCTATCGGGGTATCCAAGACTCATGTAGACATAGTATGGAAAACTTGACGGGCAATCAAGCGGCTCTGATAATGGAGTCGATGTCCTTGGTGGGTGCCAGCATGAGGGCATCCCTGCTTGTTTGTGATCCTTCATCTTGCCTGCGAGACTGCGAAGCGCCCTGAGCTCCTTCTCGCTGACGCCTGTGACAGCCGTGCCGAAGGACGTGGCGCCTTCGAGTGCTGACCGACTCATCTGACCAAGAAGTTCCCTTCGGGGCCGCCCTGACTTCAAAGCGGACATGCGGCCTTCCGCTGTTTAATAACCTTAAGACGTGCAGCAGTAGTGCGCCGTGGTTGCACCTTTTCCAGCAGCGAAAGCGACGCCCAAATTGCGATCAGCTCCCACGGCCTGAATCCCAAGATGCCGAAGATTGCGAGCAAGTGTTAGTCGAAATTGCCCCGAGTTGCTAAGCGCCCGTCCCTTGTCTAGCGCGAGCTGCATGTCTACCGCGTGCAATTCTGGCACGAGACTCTTGGCCGACTGCTCGAGCTCCTCCCCCACGCGCTCCTCGCCGTCGAAGCGCTGCAGGGGAAATCATCAGCGTTGACTGCTAGAACGACCGAGCGGTGTGCAGCGCGGACTCTGTCCAGGGACCCGAGAAGTAGTAATTGCAGCATCAGGGTGGCCAAAGTGCATCCTGGAAGCACCGCCTGCTGCACCTCCATACGTTCACTGCACACCCCATGGAGATCGAGCACCCTCGGCGCCCTGTGTACTTCAATTCAGGGACGGAGCTGCCAGAGCGGAAAGTGCGAGTCTTCAGTTGAATGTGGAAGCAGATGATGTTGCACATGTTCGAAGGTTTCCTTCAGGTCCAGAAGGATGGCTCCGGAGCCGTACCTTTGGATGGTGCTGTACTCGGACCAGGCGCTAGAGATCCACACGCATTTCTCCTCTGATCTGCCTTTCGTGGACCACCAGGCATGCCTGAAGTTGCGGCGTTGCCAGGCACTGAGGAGCGGACGCCGTAGGCGACGCTGCAGATTGCAGGGAATGTACAGTAAGCCGTTAGGCCGAATGCCTCCGAGCCGCTTTATGATGAAAGAAATGTTGTCGTACACCTTGGGCCAGGCCAGGTTCTGCCGCTCGGTGCGCGCAATAGCCTCACACCAAATCTCCAGAGATGGGTCAGGAAGGAATAGAACCTTCCTAGGGCTGACCTGATCAGATCCAAACCCTGTTTTGATAGGGGAGGTGCGAATGACTGCTTCTCCTCCTCCGCCGCCTCCTCCTCGTCCTCCCCCTCCGCGCCGCGCCAGTCTGGGCCAGGGCGAACGAATGATCCCGTCACACCGTCGCACTCACAGACGGGTCGGCAGGGCGGGCCGGGCGCGTCGCTGGAAGTTTCTTCACCACTCGTGTTGCTGAAGCTTGGAATCCAGAGGAAGCCCATGCCAAGAATCCTCCTCCTCCTCCTCCTCCTCCTCCTCCTTTCCCTCCTCCTCCTCCTCATCATCCTCCTCCTCCTCTTCCTCCTCCTCCTCCTCCTCCTCCTCCTCCTCCTCCTCCTCCTCCCCTTTCTCCTCCTCCTCCTCCTCCCCTTTCTCCTCCTCGGCAGGGTGCCCTGGGTTTCTTGAGCTTCGATGGTTGTGCGATGGAGGCGCGATGTTCCCACGCCCTGGGGTCTCAGGGCCGGGTTTCCTGTGGGGCGTTTCTTGCGGTCGAGCTCTTGCGGCAGCGGCTTCACGGACGGAAGGCGGGGCCTTTTCGAAATGTGGTACTCGCCTTGTCGCCGCACACTTTTCGCGCTGCGCATGTTATGTATATATATATATATATATATATATATATATATCGGGGGTGGACAGACCTCCTACCCTGACACGTCGATTAGCGAATTGGCCATTTTCGGTTCGCGAGAGGGCGTCGCGGCCGTCATTTTTGCGGGTCAAGGTCCGTCGGTTTCGGTCCCAGGCCGTTTTTATTGAAGGGAGGTTTACTGAAGGGAGGTTTGTCCACCGTCGGTTTAAAGTTCTCAGCCATTTCACGGATGGAGGGCGGGTCCCTTTCAAGATATGGTTCTCTCTTAGTGCCGCACACACTCGTTCTACAAGCGAGGAACAGCTTCAAGGATGGAAGGCGGGCCGTTTTCAAAGCGTGGGTCTCGCCATAGCGCCGCGCACATTCGTCATAAGCGTTTGCCACAGGTTCAAGGAATGAGGGCGGTTCCTTTTTAAAATGATGCTTTTGCTTCAGCGCCGCGCACATTGCTTGAACAGTTCGCAATCGGTTCAAGGATTCGTACGGTTGACGTCCCAGGAGTGGTGCCCGGGCACGATGTAGAGTTGTCAGTGTAAAAGAGCCACGCTGATTCGTGGTGTCGAAATCCCAGGAATGGTGTTCTGGCGCGGTGCAGGTTGTCCGTACTTAGCCGTCACGCTCATCAGCGGCGTTGACATCCCGGGAACGGTCTCTTGGTACGACTGAAGATTCGCAGACGTTTGCTTTCCAAGGAGCCACATCCCGCAGCAAACACAGTTTTTGTTTCAAGGGTTCTTGAAGAGGGAACTTAGGGGAAGGGTTTACTGCGACGTCGCTGATGCGTCTTAGCTTTGTGTTGGTGCTCCTCCCTCCTCCCTCCTCTCTCGCTCCTTCTTCCCCCCTGCTCCTCTTCCCGTGCCATTCTTCCTCCTTCATTCTCCCCCTCCCAGACCTCCAGCGACGGTCCGCTCCCACTCCAGGGGCCCCGGAGGTCCCCACCGCTTCCCCGAGGCCGCCTGCTCGGCCCAGGCAGCTTCCACGTGGCCCCGGGGATCTGCGCGGCCCCCCCGAGGGCGCAATCGACCTGGCATCGTTCGGACGTGTGCATTTTTTCTCGGCGAGAACCATCGAGGACCATCCTGGACCATCGAGCAACAGAAAAAAAAAACACGCACGAGACCGAAAAATGCACGGGAAGTGGACGTCCGAACGACGGCAAGTCGAGGAGACGCGCCGGGAACGAGCAACAGGAAGCAGTCCGTTGGAGTTCTCTTCCGCCCCGCTGCACGTCCCCCTTCCATGGCGCCGACGGCTTCCCGGTGGCTTCCCGGCGGCCTTCTGGGCGCCGACGGCTGCCCAGGTGGCAGGAGTGGCGCACAGACGCTCCTCCCTGGCACGGGGCACGCTTGCAGGGAGCCCGTCGGCGCCACAGGGGGAGCGGCGGAAGGACGAGTCAGAAGAAGCACGAGGAGGAGGGAGGGGGGAGGAAGGATTGGAGGGGGGGGGAGAATCGAGTGTTTTTTTCCACATTTTTAAGCATCTGGACAGGTAGGAGGAGGAGGAGGAGGAGGAGGAGGAGGAGGAGGAGGAGGAGGAGGAGGAGGTGGAGGAGGCAATACTGCAGTAGGAAGAACAAGTAGGAGGATGAGGTGGAGGAGGAGGAGGACGAGGAGGAGGAGGAGGACGAGGACGAGGACGACTACGAGGAGGAGGAGGAGGAGGAGGAGGAGGAGGAGGAGGAGGAGAGTCGACGTGTACATTTGTCTCGGGGACTGCTGCCTCTATGCCTGTGTGGCCTCTGTGTAGGCCTTTTTTTTCCGCCAGGTCCAGACTTCCGCGTGGGCACCCTTTTGACATGGCGGGACCGGCGCGCTCTCCAGTCCCTTCCTCGTCCCTTGCCTCCCGTTCGGCAAGGGTTTCGACCAGCGCTCTCTGGTCTCCTCTCTCTCGTACCCTCGCCTTGCTGCTTGTAGCTCCTCCGTATCTCCTCTTTTCCCAAACCTCTTGTGTGTTGGGTTGTCGTTTTGAAAAGTGCACTGTAGTCTCCATCCTCCCCCTCCCCGTCCTCCTCCTCCTCCTCCTCCTCCTCCTCCTCCTCCTCCTCCTCCTTCTCCTTCAGGCGGCCCCGGGCCCCGGCCCGCCCGCGCCGCTCCTAAGGGGCCCGCCTGCCGGCGGACACGCGCGCGTCTCGTCCTCGTTCTCGTCCTCCTCCTCCTCCTCCTCCTCCTCCTCCTCCTCCTCCTCCTCTTCCTCCTCCTCCTCCTCCTCCTCCTCCTCCTCCTCCTCCTCCTCCTCCTCCTCCTCCTCCTCTCTCCTCCTGCCTCCTTGCCTCCTTTGCTCGTACCTTCTTACGGGTGGGTATGCGAACTGCGCAACTGTCGCCACCTTCGTAGGCTCCTCTTGGGATAGGCAGGCAAGACCTCGCGGTTCCATTGGAGGTTGCCAACCGCGCATTTGTCGCCACTTTTCGTGGGCTCTGGCGAGGTCCAGCAGAAGCGGTGGGCAGGAGAGAGTCCGCGGCTCCCTGGGAGGCTGCCAGTTGCGCAGTGGTCGCCACTTTCGCGGGCTCCTGGGAGATCCAGCGGAGGCGCATTCAGGCGAGACCTTACGGCCCCCCGGGAGGCTGCCAGCTGCGCACTTGTCGCCAGCGGAGTATAGACTGTCACCCAGATCAAGGCGAGACCTCGCGGCCCCGTCGGGGGCTGCCACCTCAACCGTCGACGCGGCCAGGCGGCCCACAGCGGTGGCCCATCAGATCCGCAGAGCGTGATATCATCACTGGCACGTTTCTCCTTCTCGCCGACGTAAGCCTTCCAGTTGATGAGACATTCTGTCCCCAGGAGGAGGAGGAGGAGGAGGAGGAGGAGGAGGAGGAGGAGGGAGGAAGAGGAGGAGGAGGAGGAGGAGGAGGAGGAGGAGGAGGAGGAGGAGGAAGGAGGAGGAGGAGGGCGGAGGAGGAGGAGAAGGAGGGAGGAGGAGGATGAGGAGGACGGAAGCTTTCCACGTGGCCGGAGGGTTCTTCCCAGGACGGAGGACGTGGAGGCGGAGGAGACGGAGGCCTTCCAAGTACTGCATATCCCGCAGTGTGTTCTTTGGTGTAAAACGTTCATGTAAGCAGTCACCTCTCGCGCAGAGGGGGGTTGGGGACGTCTCGGATAATTCTCTATCCAGCCTTACCGTGCTCTCGCCTCTCGTTGTGTCCTAGCCCCCCCCACCATGGACCTCATCTTTCCAGGTGGAGTCTCCCCAAGATGGACGCCCTGTTGCAAACAGTCGCGTTAAGCAGAGGTCCAGAGCCAGACCCCCCCCCTTCCGCCCAATGTCGAAACGCCGAATCTGAAAACGTTGATTAATCTTCCCATTTTCACTGCAGCAACCTCTGCTACTCGGTCGGCGCATTTGCTCGTCATCACCATGCGACCAGTATGTTCGTAGCCATTTTAGCTCAAGGATATTCGGCTCAGGCATTACGATCAAGCGTTCGTGCTATTTTGCTGTGGTGCCATAGAAGACAGCACAGCCAGCGACATGGGGAGCTCACACAGTGCACCTGGCCATGCGCAAACGACGCAGTCGATGACATTAGACAAAGCTGATGTGCGCTCTCAATGTATTCTCACGGATGGGAAGCTCTCTGTCGTTTCCAAGGGCGTAAAAGTTTCTTTATCCAGTTGCTTGCGGCAAGTCCCGCCTCCGGACCAGCCCAACAGTTTCGGTGGCGACTGTTCGAGGGGGCACGGGAGCCCGTCGCATGTGACACCTTGTGTCTCCAGGTTTGGGAGAGCCGTGGTAAGGATGATCAGAATTGCGAGGACGATGAGGGTAATGGTGATGATGATGGAGAGGAGGAGCAGCAGCAACAGCAGCCGGAGGAAGAGGGCGGCCGTCACATCTGTCATTTTTCGTTTGGGGAGCGCTCATGGAGCTCGTTTGGGCTGTTTTGGGGCTGTCTTGCCCCGCTGTGAGGAGGCAGTCTTGGCTGTCCCCTGGGGCCCCTTTAGTCTGTCGTGTGGCTCTCTCTGGCCGCCTCGGGGCCCTTTTGGTAGGTGTGTGGGGCCGTCGTGGGATCTTGGCGCAGTCTGAGCCGCCGAAGGGCCTTCTAAGGCAGTCTTGGGTCCCACGGGAGGCACTCTTGGGTCGTCTTGGATACCTCCTGGGCCATCGCGGGGTCTTCTTGGAGGCCTCTTGGGCCTTTTTGGGACCATCGTGGAGGCTTCTTGGGCCATCTTGAGCTGACGGGAGCCCGAAAATGCGATAATGTCAAAACCATTCAGAAACCCAAAGGATAACAAGGGTGTTGGCCTCTTCGGACTCTGTTGGAGGGCCGTCTTAAAGCCATATGTGGCCGCGTTGGGGCTATCTTGGTCCGTCTTCGAGACGCATTGGGCCATGTTGGTGTCTGTGGTAGCCTGCATGGGCCGTCGTGGAAGCTCGGGACGCAGATCCATCGTTTTTGTCGATTGATCGTAGCCTCGGGGTGTGGCTCTTTCGTTTTTTTACGAGGGATCGCGGCCTCGAACGGGAGGGCGGTGCATGCAAGTAGACTCGACTAACTCATTTCCCGAACTGTGTTTGCCCTCAGGGGTTCCAACTTCTCACCAACGGCTTGGGCCTGTGCGTCGGGCCCGCCAGCTTGTCCACCCGTCGCCGCTGCCCAGCGCCGCACCATGCTGGTTACGATTTTGCTTGTGTGAGGCTCGCAGCTGAGCCTGTGCCCTGGTCTGACCAGCTCGTGGGCGCTCGTCGCCGCCGTCCGTCGACGCACCGTTTTGGATGCGATGTTGATTGTGCGACGTCCTTGCTCTGCAGTGCACTGCATTACTTTACATTGCATTGCACTGCTTTGCTCTGCTCTGCATGTGTTTGCGTCGCAGGGCGTTGCTGTGCACTGCCTCGCAGTGTGCTGCATTCCGTTGCTTTGCATCGCATTGCATTGCTGTGTGTTTGTTTGCACTCTCTCGTATTGCTTGACACTTGTCTGCACGGCATAGCACTGGCTCGCACTGCTTCGCGCTGCTCCGCACTGCTCCACACTGCATTACACATTGCTCCGCACTGCTTCGCATCTCCCAGGCAGTGCTTGCACTGAGGGGGCTCTTCCCCCGCCCAGAAGGAGACCTGGGCCCGTGCGCCGGCCTGGCCGGCCCGTGGCCCCCCGCCGCCGACCGTCGCCGCCGCCCGCCGCCGCACCACGCTGGTCTCGAACTTGCTGCTGCGAGGCTCGCAATTTCCGGCCACGCGCAGAGGGGGGTGGGGGGGGATGGGGGGGGCGGAAAAGAGGGGGGTGATGACTAGGGGGGGGGGATATCATGGCGGGGGCCATGATATTTGCCCAGATCTCAGGGCGCCCCTTCTTGTTTCATTACGTCCCTGGCCCCCCCGCTGGGCCGCGCACATGCCGCCGGTCATGATTTGCACCCCCCCCTCTTGGACACCCCCCTCTTGGCCGCTCCCGAGGGAGGGGGGAGGGCGTCTCAGAAGCGCCCCTGCTCCTTAGGGAGGCGCGGGCCATCTCTGTAGATGTACAGTCGAGTTTGATTAGTAGGTCGACCCTGCCCAAATAGGGGTACCCTTGTGTCCTGTGTTTCGCGACCCATGCCCTCTGCGTTCCACTGGCAATATGGCCATCGGAAGGGTCTTATGCCCTCTCGCGTGCCCTCTCCAATCCACCCCGACTGTAGGGCTGGCGCCTTCTACGAAGCAGCCTCCTTCTAAGAAGCGCCCCCCCCCTCCCTCCACCCCTGGCATCGCTCGGACGTGTGCATCTTTCCTTCGGCGAGGACCGTCGAGGAGCATCCTTGATCATTTGGCGGAAAGCCACGCACGAAACCGAGAAAAAACACGGAGTGGACGTCCGAGCGATGGCGAGCTACCCCCACGTGCGCGCCGCCAAGATTTGGGACTGTGCGGCGGTCCGGCTCTGGCTCGTGGCCGCCCTTCGCCGCCGTGCGTCGCCGCCGCATGCTAGGGTCGCGGTTTTGATGTTCGCGGGCCTCGCGGGTGCTCTCTAGGGGGCCACGTGCGAACCCTAGCCCTGCCCCTACCCTCCTCCTCCTCCTCCTCCTCCTCCTCCTCCTCCTCCTCCTCCTCCTCCTCCTCCTCCTCCTCCTCCTCCCTCTAGGGGGCCACATGCGAACCCTGCCTCTACCCCCCACGATTTCTGAGGGGGAGGGTGGGGTTCACTTCGCTCGGGAGCTCCCGCGCGAAGTGAGCCCTACCCCTCCCCCTCAGAAATCGTGTGGGGCAGGGGCAGGGTTCGCATGTGGCCCCCTACTCTTTTCCAGGATGGAGCGCCAAGCTCTCTACCACGATGCTCGTTTGGGGGACCTTTCTGGGGCCCACCCAACGGATCTGTTCGACTCAGGTTCGACTCGGGTCCGACTCAGATTCGACTCAGGTTCGACTCAGGTCCGACGCAGGTTCGACGCAGGTTCGACTCGAGCTCGACGCAGCGTCGACGCACGAGTGGAGCGAGTGGCTCCCAGGCAGGTCCCCAGAATGAGCATCTGACTCTACCACCCTCCCGAGCCTGGACTTGTCGCCCACCCCTGGACAAGGGCAAATTGCATGTGACGTCATATCACTCCAGCGAGTTCGCACCGAACCCCCCTTTTCCCCAGTCAAAGGGGTTGTCCGCGCGCAATGGCTTGTCACAAAGATAATGTTTCAATAATCCTCTGCTAGCAAGGACCAAGCCCACACTCGCGCGTCGTCGCGCGCGCATGTTGAAATCTGTCCCTGCCGATGTATTTTCCAAAATTCTAGGTTTCGTAAAGATTTAGAGGTCGAGGTCTTAGAACGCCTACGAACGAAACAATGCGTTGCTCACAACAAGTTGTACCAACAAAAATTGCGCTGGTGCTCTTGCGAATTCTCAGGGTCACCATAGTTTGTTTTTGCTTCTAAGTCGCTAGTACAAAGAACTGTTCTAACATGAGATCACGCAGCCCTCTCGCGCGCGCAAGTCGACATCATTCGATCGCCCTTGCGCGCTCGCTGGGGGAGGCGTGATCCCTGTCGAATAATACCATGCGGGCCACGTGCGCTCGTCGGCCGCGCGCGCATGTCGACATCTGTGCAAAACCATCATCGGGGACACCTGGACATCATTATCGTCGTCGACATCACCAGCATCGGCGCCTTCATTGGCCTTGCCGTCGTCATCGTCACCATCGTCACCACCATCGCCCGCAATGGTTTTGCAACCCAGATTGCGAGTGGGAGGGTAGGATGATTACGCGAGCAGTGCAGTTGACAACTTCAAGTTCTGCAAGGTGGATTGCACCACATCTACCCTCCTCTCAAAAGAAGAATAGACTCTACCACCCTGTCCCCCCCCGGACTTGTCAGAACCCCAGGGACGTTGCAGATTACATGCAATTTTGCTACAAATTTGCATGTTGCGTGTTAGTGTATACCGTGCGAGGCGATCCTTGTATCGACCCCTTTTTTTCATCTCTGTCAAAAGAATACAACGCGCAAACATTCTACCATTTTCAAGAATCCCGTGCAATACATAAGGCACAACGTGCACGCGCGCGCACATGTCGAAATCATACATACTGTAACGGTGATGCAAGGATGTCAACAGACTTGCTTGAACGAGGGAAAACCTGGAGCTGTTCATCACAGCTCTTGCAAATTTCTTGTCCGCGCGCACTTGCTGAACTCGTTGGAAAACCAGACGAAGTTAACTAGTTCGCCCCAAGTCCACATTTTGTTTTACCACGCGATGCATCCGGGTTGATCCAGCATGCGCCCAGTGCACGAATCCCCATCAAATAACATTCATGCGGGCCACTTGGACGCGACCGCCGAGTGCGCATGTCGACATCTGTCCTGAACGCTTGCTCTCGTAAGGATATCTTTAATACCGAGGTTTAAAAAACCGATTGACAGTAACAAGAAATAATGATTCTCAACAATTTCCCCAATCAGTGCTTGCACTGAAGGGGTCCTAGCAGAGATTGAAAGTATTGGCAGGAGTACCAGGCCGATTGCGGTGGGCGGCCGGGTTCCCTGGTTCCCGGTTCCGGGTTCCCCAGATCCCGTTTGTTGGTTTTGGGCCGATTTCGGTACGCGGTCGGGTTCCCGGGTTTCCGGGTTCTTGGGTTTTTGGTCGATTTTTTTATCGATCGGTCCTACCATCGATGTCATTGCCCATCTCTCTATCGATCGAACGATCGACCTCACGATCGATCTCATTATCGATCTCACAATCAATATCACTATAGATCGCACGAGCGATATCACGATCGATCTCACTGTCGATTTGACTGAATCGACTTCACTATCGCTTTCACGATCGACCTTACGATCGTCCTCACGATCTCACTATCGATTTCACTATCGATGCCAATATTGCCGAAAGATCGTGTTCTACCGCTGCTGGCGGAAAACCGAGGGGGGGTCAATGGGGGTTCCCAACCCGTCCCCTCCCCCCCCCTTCGAAAACGGCGGGGGTCACTACCGGTTCGAACCCCCCCCTCCCCCCCCCTGTCCATCATGAAAAGGAGGGGATCACTACCGTTTCGAACCCCCTCCCCCCCCTCGCCGCCGGCGAATGATTCCCGCTCCTCGGGACAGTGGGACAGTGGTGGAGACATTGGGACAGTGGAGAGGACGGTAGTGGTGGGGACAGTGGTGTGGGGACAGTGGGACAGTGGTGGGGACAGTGGGGAGAGTGGTGGGGACGGTGGGTGGTGGGGACGGTGGTGAGGGGACAGCGGGACAGTGGTGGGGACAGTGGGCACAGTGGGACAGTGGTGGGGACTGTAGTGGTGGGGACAGTGGTGAAGGCGGTGGTGAGGACGCTGATGGGACAGTGGTACAGTGGGGAGAGTGGTGGGGACAGTGGGGACAGTGGGACAGTGGTGGGGACAGTGGGGACAGTGGGACAGCACAGTGGGACAGCGGCGGGGACAGTGGTGCGAACAGTGGGGACGTGGGACAGTGGTGGGGACAGCGGGGACAATAGGGAGAGTGGGACCGTGGTGGGACAATGGTGGGGACTGGGGACAGTGAGACACTGGTGGAGACAGCGGGGACAATGGTGGGAACAGTGGGGACAATGGGACAGCGGTGGGGACCGTGGGGAAAGTGGGGAGAGTGTGACCGTGGTGGGAACAGTGGTGGGGACAGTGCGACAGTGGTGAAGGCGGTGTTGAGGATGGTGGTGGGACAGTGGTACAGTGGGGAGAGTGGTGGGGACAGTGGGGACAGTGGGACAGTGGTGGGAACAGTGGGGACAGTGGGAAAGCACAGTGGGACAGCGGCGGGGACAGTGGGGGCAGTGGGGAGAGTGGTGGGAGCAGTGGGACGTGTGACAGTGGTGTGGACAGTGGTGACAATGTGGAGAGCAGAGCCGTGGTGGGACAATGGTGGGGACAGTGGGGACACTGAGACACTGGTGGGGGTACTGGTTGTGGCAGCGGGGACAATGGTGGGAACAGTGGGGACACTGGGACAGTGCTGGGTACAGTGGGACAGTGCTGGGGACGGTGGTGGTGGGGACGGTGGTGTGAGGACAGTGGGACAGTGGCGGGGATAGTGGTGGGGACAGTGGTCAGGGCGGTGGTGAGGACGGTGGTGGGACAACGGGACAGGGGTACAGTGAGGACAGTGGTGGGGACAGTGGGGACAGTGGTGGGAACAGTGGGACAGCTCAGTGGGATTGCGGCGGGGACAGTGGGACAGTGGGGACAGTGGGACAGTGGCGGGGACCGTGGGGAAAGTGGGGAGAGTGGGACCGTGGTGGGAACGTGGTGGGGACAGTGCGACAGTGGTGGGGGCACTGGTGGGGACAGTGGGGACGGTGGTGGGAAAAGTGGGGACAGTGGTGCTGGGGACAGCGGTGGGGATGTGGTGCGGAATGTGGTGGTGGGGACCCGGGAGTCGTTTGCCGGCGGTGAAGGGGAGGAGGTTCGAACCGGTAGTGATCCCCCCCCCCGGTTTTCCAGATGGGGGGGAGGAGGGGGGGAGGGGTTAGGGGGGGGGTTTTGCCGAGGGAAGGGGGGGGGCGAGGGGGGAGGGGTCCAGCAGGGGGGGGAGGGATTTTCGAAGTGGGGTGGGGGCCCGGGTTCCGGAGGAAGAGGGGGGGATTTTTCCGCAGGGAAGCGGCGGTGGATCACGTTCTCACCAGTGCCCATACCACTATGATTTCCAAGCCCTCCACGGACTGGGGGAGTTCTTCTCTGGTGCCACTGTGTTACTTTCAAGACCCGGCGCACTTGCTCTTGCGACGGGGTGGTGTCCCAGATCCTTCTCGCGCGGGACCACGTGGGCCCTTCGCGCGCGAGTGCCGAAGTCATTCGGGCGCCTCGGCGCGCCTGCGGGGGGGGGGGAGGGCAGGGCACGAGCCCCGTCGGACAGCACCGTGCGGGCCGCGCGCGCGCGCAAGTTGGCGGCGCGAGCAGGGCGGCGTCCGTCCAACACAGTCGCTTTTGCCAGGATTGCGAGGTCTAGGCCCTCGGGAGCTTACAGATTAGGCTTCGTTTTTGTTATATGCGCGCGCGTCCTGATCGCCCTCATGCGTTTCATCGCATCAGCAGCGCCAGCGTCATCATTATCAAGGGCATCATCGTTCCCCATCACCCCGATCATCGTCATCCCCGTCATCGCCGCCAGCGTCATCATCGCAACCGTTGTCGTCGACATCGCCTCTGTCGTCGTCATCGTCGTTCTTCGATACCGTCGTCCGTACCGCGCGTCCTGCAGGATGGACTTGTTTGGCATGACGAGTCTACGCCTGATGAGGTTTTGCCAGCCAAGTTACGGGTGCACGGGTGGGATGTTTGCACGAGCATGGGGGTGTAGTCATGCGCGGTGCAGTGTAGTCAATTGCACCACTGCGTACACCACATAGATTGCGCCACGAAAGTTCCGCCACCTACGGCCTGTAGTTACACCACATTTATTTTGTTTATTTATGTATGTATTTGTTTATTTATTTATGTATTTATTTATTTATATATATATATATGTATTGCTTAGCAAGCATGCCTTACCACATATAGCTCGCACCACAAACTGTGAAGGCCCCACGGCTGGCGCCGCCGACCCGGAAGGCGGGACCTCCCAGGGGAACCAGGGCCCTCCCCCCCCGCCCCCCGGCATCCCGGCGCCGGGGCCGGAGCTGGGGCCGGGGCCAGGGCCGGGACTCTTGGCATCGCTCGGACGTGTGCATGTTTCCTTCGGCGAGGACCATCGAGGAGCATCCTTGATCATTTGGCGAAAAAACCACGCACGAAACCGAAACAAACACAGGGAATGGACGTCCGAGCGATGGCCGGCAATCTGACCTGGGACCCTCCACCCCCCCGCACCCCCCCGTGGCCCCCCCCCCCCCCCTTTTCTATCAGGGAATGGAAAGAGGGAAGGGATTCGACTGAGCTACGGGGCTTCTTCCCTCTGTTCGTTCCTCAGGTTTCTTGGGGCTGGCGACGACGACGCCGATTAATTCGCATAGATTACCTCAAATAGCTTACACCGCATATTATGTCACATATTTATTGCACCACATAGGTTGTTTCACATAAACTGTACCACATAGATTGCGCCACGTAGCTTACAGCACATGCACTGCACCACATAGCTTGCACCACATACATTGCGTAACATTGATTGCGCCGCATAGTTCACATCACATCGATTGCATCTCGTAGTGCGCACCACAAAGATTGCACCACATATTGTGCTAGAACTCGATGCTTGGGGCCCGCGCTGGCTAACATGAGAATGCAGAAACCCTGCTGGACAGCCCTTGGCATTATTCAACGCCTCAATGTGAAAAAGGCACGGTGGCGGAGACGACCTTGGCAGGCGTGTGCTGTACACCAAGCTCACTGAGGACCACAATATTGTGCCGTGGGCAGCTCTTGGCGACAAGAAGGTCCCAGTAGAAGCCGAAGTACGAGAATGTTGGCGCTTCGTCGACACAGATACAGTTCTGGCGTTGGCTATGCGACGCTCGACAGATTCGACCGACTCGACCGTGATGGCGCTGATACGTCGGGATCGTGGCTACATCGATGGCTGTAAAATATGGCTGGTCGAGTTTGATCTCGATGGGAACAAGAAACATGAAACTGACCCCATTGACGAGAAATTTGCGTATTGGCGATCTGCCTCGAGCGAGTTCCACCACGCACATCTCACGGCGAACGCCGCAGGCGAGGCGATAGCGCTTTTGGCCACTCAGTGGTCTCGCATGGCATTCCATCTTGTCCGAATGAATTGGATCAAGGTCGACGTAGACTTTGACCGAAACTATCGGTGCAATTATGTTTGCATGCCAAATTTGCTGGAACACGACTTCATGCTTCTGTGTGAATCCTGCAGTCGGCTGGGTGTTGGCTCTAAATCGTATGAGCTTGTTCGATTCGGCCCGCTGATTGGTTCCAGTCCAATAACCACTTCTCTAGCAAAGCGGATGGCGATCGGTGACGACAGTGATGACGCAATGTGCTGCGACGAAAGGGGGAATTTCGTCGCAGTGGCGGAAGGCAAAGGAAGGGTGGTTGTGCGTGAGTGGCACGAACTCTGCCCGCTGTTTATCGTGGGGCCTCCGCAAGACCTGCACGTCAAAGCCATTGGCCTCTTGCAGAACACCGCGACGTTGTTGATCCGGTATGGCGCAAGTTCACTCACAGCGCCCACGGAAGACAAAGTCTACAGAGGAGTGTTCCCGAGCCTCGCGTTCTCGTTGGGGCACGTGCGCACGTTGTGGGGCCGTGCGCTATCCAACTCCAACGCGCCCCAAGATCAAGACCTTCTGCGCAACATCGTGCGGCTGCATGAAGACATTGAAGGCATGTATGCACTGAAGAGCAAAATAGCGTGCTGGCTGAACAGCGTTCTGCTCAATCGGGTCCATGCGTCTCGCGGCGACGCCAAACACGGCGACCGTGAGTCAATTACCTTCGAGCATTTGAACATTGCATTGGAGGGGAATCCAGGATGTGGTAAGTCGACAGTGGCCCGACTGCTTGGTCAATTGCTATCTAACTCTGGCATAATTTGTCCACATGCCAAGTTTATTGAGGCAACCAAGGCTGACATGGTGGGCAGGGCTTTGGGAGAAACCCCTCAGATCATGACGGCGTTTTTGGAACGCTGCAAGGGGAACGTGATCTTCTTCGACGAGGCTGACCAGTTCTATTGATGAATTCGCTCGCTCCGCCAGTCCATGTTGTATTATTGTTGGCTTTTGGGTAGGTTTTGGAAGCCTCCTGGGGTCCTCGTGGAGGGCTCTTGGGTGCCAGTTTGGGGCTTCTTGGGCGCCTTTCGGGGAGCATCTTGGGAGTCTCTCGGGGCCTTTGGGGAGCCTTTCGGGGGCCTCGTTGGGGTGTACCTCCTGGGGGCGTCTTACGGCATTCTTGGAGCTCCTTGAGGGTTTCTTGGGGGCCTGTTGGTGGTCTGGAGGGTCGTCTCGGTGCACAAGGCTCGAAATGTCTGTTCGTGGTCCCCTTCTTGGACCCCGTGGGGCCCTCTAGGGCCGTTTTGGGGGGCTCTTGGGCCTGCTTGGGCCCTCTTCGGGGCCGTCTTGGGGCGATCTTGCCTCTTGGGCCGTCTTGGAGCGTTGGAAGCCCAAGAAGGCGAGAACATTTTAATCCTTCAAATTTTTACGACAATTAACCATTTATGTCTCGCTGGGCCTTCTTGGGGTGGTCTTGGGGCGATGTTGAGACGTTTTTGGAGGCCCCTTGGACCGTCTCGAACCCATCATGGACCTCTTGGAGCGCTCATGGGCCGTGTCGGGCACTCTTGGGCTCTCCTGCGGACCCCGCGGAGCGTTCCTGGAGCGCTCTTGGGGGTCACCGCGGAGTCCCGACATCAAGAGTTGGCCGGGCACAGGCCGGGGTGTCCGTCGGTCGTTGAAAGTAAATGTTTTTGGATTCCCAGATTCCAATCTACTTTAGGCGCCCTCCTACTTTAAGGATCAAGTGGTTTTTATTTCTCCTTCGCCTTCAGAGCGCGGGTGGAAGCCCAGTCTACTTCCAACGCCTTCCTACAGTGGAAACCCATGCCAAGAAACACCCTGCTTGCCTTCAGGGTGCCCTGGGTTTCTTGGGTTTCGATGGTTCTGCTATGGAAGGTGACGCTCCCACATCAAATATAGCCGGAGTGCAGTATCCCAAAACAGGGTTTTTAGACCCACTGCGGTTTCCTAGGTCCATTGCGCGCCCGTCCAGTGCGGGCTAGCATGGCACGTTAGAACATGCCTCCTCCTCCTTATCCTCGTCCTCCCCCACCTCCTCTTCATCCCGAACGGCATCTCGGAGCCCAGAGTTGCGAGGATGTCTCTAGCGTAACGGACTGGATCATCTCGCGCGCGGCATCTCGGACCCCAGAGTTGGTACGATGTCTCTTGCGAAACGTGCTGCAAGGAAGTCTCAGGCGAAACGGGCCAGACCACGAGCGCGGCGTCTCAGAGCTCCGAGTTGCGGGGGACTCCTGGGGCCTCCTGGACCCCACTTGGGGCTTCTTGAAGCCTCTTGGGGCTCCCAGGGGGGGATATCTAACATGTGGCCGTCGGGGCCCCCCAAAATGGAGGGGGGGCACAAGAGCAGGAAAACTCAACGAATCGGCACCCGATGTGTATTAACTTGACACGTGCTGATAGGGGGCCTTCTGGGGCCTCCTGGGAGCCTCCTGGGGATGTCCTGGGGACCGCTGGGGCCTGTCCTGGGCGTCTTGCGGCCTCCTGAAGCTCTCTGGGGCCTCCTGGGGCTCCCAGGGGGGATGTGTAACATGTGGTCTTCTGGGCACCCAGGCTGGACCACCTCTTGCGCGGCATCTGGGAGCTGAGTCAGAGACGCGAGAATGTCTTATGCGAAACGGGCCGGATTACCCTGCGCACGGCATCTCAGAGCTCAGAGTTGCGAGGATGTCTCAGGCGAAACGGGCCGGACCACCTCGTGCAGGGCATCTCGGAGCCCAGAGTTGCGAGGATGTCTCCAGCGTAACGGGCTGGACCACCTCGCGCGCGGCATCTCGGACCCCAGAGTTGGTACGATGTCTCTTGCGAAACGTGCTGCGAGGAAGTCTCAGGCGAAACGGGCCGGACCACCTCGAGCGCGGCGTCTCAGAGCTCCGAGTTGCGGGGGCCTCCTGGGGCCTCCTTGGGCCTCCTGGGGACCTCCTGCTTCCTCCTGTGGCCTCCTGGACCCCACCTTGGGCTTCCTGAAGCCTCTTGGGGCTCCCAGGGGGGGATATCGAACATGTGGCCGTCGGGGCCCCCCAAAATGGGGGGGGGGCACGAGAGCAGGACAAATCAACGAATCGAGACAGGATGTGTTTTAACTTGACACGTTCTGATAAGGGGCCTCCTGGAAGCCTCCTGGGGATGTCCTGGGGACCGCTGGGGCCTGTCCTGGGCGTCCTGCGGCCTCCTGAAGCTCTCTGGGGCCTCCTGGCGCTCCCAGGGTCCCAGGGGGGATATGTAAGATATGGTCTTCTGGGCCCCCAGGCTGGACCACCTCTTGCGCGGCATCTGGGAGCTCAGAGTTGCGAGAATGTCTTGTGCGAAACGGGCTGGACCACCTTGCGGACGGCATCTCAGAGCTCAGAGTTGCGAGGATGTCTCAGGCGAGACGGGCCAGACCACCTCGCGCAGGGCATCTCAGCTCAGAGTTGCGAGGATGTCTCAGGCGAGACGGGCCAGACCACCTCGCGCAGGGCATCTCAGCTCAGAGTTGCGAGGATGTCTCAGGCGAAACGGGCCGGACCACCTCTCGCACGGCACCTCGGAGCCCAGAGTTTCGAGGATGTCTCAAGCGAAACGGCCCCGACCACCTCTCGCGCGGCGTCCCGGAGCGCAACTGTTCGAGGATGTCTCAGGCGAAACGGCCATTCCCGGCCAACTCAGAAACGAGAGTTGTGAGGATGTCTCAAGCGAAACGGCCCGGACCATCAGATTTTGGTGAGGATGTCTCTGCTCCCCTTTCCCTCGGCCGGAGTTAGCTTCTATCACAACAGCACCCCGTTCAGCAAGCTGTTTGGGGAAAAATGTGCGGACGTCCTGGGGTATCAGGGTTGGGTTTCTTATGGAAGGTTTCTTTTGGTCGAGCTATGCCGAGCTCCTACTATACTTCATATTTCTACCCACTTCTTCCGACCGACGGGCATCTCTTCTCGGAAGACATTAGTGGCCGCCCCTTGCGCGCGAGCTAGATAGATTGGCAACGTTTGACTGGAGAGTCTGGCACACCTTTGGCCCGCTGGGCCCGCGAATTCCAAGGGCGACGTCTTCGCTAAGGAAGCAGCCCATATTCTCAATGGCTTTTTGCAGGAGAACCGGGGCAGAGTGATGTTTATCGTGTGCGGCTACGGGCCATCTTCCCCAAGCTCACAAGAGAAGATATCGGACGATCACTCTTGTCTACTCAAAGGTTTCTTCGAGGCTGATGCCGGGCTTCCTTCCCGATTTCCTCAGGCCTTACGGTTCAAGATCCCAGATTTGGATGACACCCAGTGTTTCAACATCTTTGCGAGGGCCCTTTCCAAGGCTCGCCTTCACCTGGATGACCCGAAAGCCGTTCGGGAAATATTCAAGGAGAAGAAAACTAATTCTGATATGTTCAATGCAAATGGCCGCAGTGTCGAAAACCTGCTGGGTGTCGCTGTTCAAGCGTACAACCTGCGCATTGGGGTGAAGCAGATGAGCGCGGAGGTCGCCATCCCCGATGACGACGCCGATGAGGACCCAGAGGACTCTACAACGGAGCCGTCGACAGAAAAGAGAAGAATGGATCGGCTGACTACGAACGATTTCAACATTGCGATCGGCATGTTCAGCGGAGAGAACAGCTTCCGCCTCGAAGGAACCGACCAGACCGATCTGAAACCATTCGACGAGTTGCCGCCACTGCCGGCCGCGGTCCACGGCAACAGCGATGTGGCCGGCGCCGCCCGCTGCCCGGCTCCGAGGCTCACCCCGCTCCCAGGCCTTGTGGCTGTGCTCGTTGCGCTCGTCCTGACGTACATTGGAAGGGTTCTGGTCAGCTCGGGTGTTGCCAGAGGTGCCCCTGGCCCCAGGTACCCCCAGGATTTGCAAGGAGGCCACCACGGCCTCCAGAGCACCCCATCACGAGGTCCAGAGGGTCCCAGGAGCTCCCAAATCGAGCGAAAAGCTGGGGGCACCTTGGGCCAGGGGCACCTTTAGCAACCTCCGATCAGCGACGCACAGTCACACAGGGGTCCTGATTTGTCCGGCGCGACTGCTAGAGGTAGCGGTGGCAGCGCAGCAGGGGAGAGCATCAGCGGTGGCAGCGCAGGGCTGCGGGAGGCACTCCAGACGACGATGCTACTCAATGCTGGGCTCTTGATCGTCATAATTGTTTGCATTGGTGTTTGGTACATATGGGGGGGTGGCAAGCAGTGGACTGCTGAAATATCCGACGGTTTGAAGGACGTCCACGCCAAGGCTAAGAATAACATGATTTGGCTCGCTGTTTTGATCGCCTTGCTGGTCATTATCATTATGGCCGCTATTGTCTGTTTGCTTGTCGTGGCCTTTTCCATCTCATACGTGTTGGGCGTTGGTCTGTTAGCCATCATCTCATTTCTTATATGTCAAACAGTTGCCGTTGTCGTGACAGCGAAACGCGAGATGACGCAAGCAATCAATAGTGTGGTTTCAAAGGCAATGCAGCCTTTGAGGATCCATGGCTGAGCACGCCCAAGCGAAGCCAGTCCTGGACTGGGCACTGTCCTGCCCTGCGATCAGTCTGTCTCTGCTACATTGTCACCTGCTGCGCGCATGCACTTCGGACTCGTCCGACCACGTGACCGCCACATGATTCTGGACGTCCGGCTCGCGACTCGTGTGCCCGATGCCACACGCTTTGGGGCGTCGCGGCCACGCGCGCAGCAACGCGGCCGAGTCAGGCGTGCGGGAGCGGCGAAAGGAAGGTGCGGCGGCGGCAGGGCAGGGCACTCGGGCGACCCAGAGCTTGGCATCGCTGGGACGTGTGCATTTGCCCTCGGCGAGGACCATCGAGGAGCAGCTTTCATCATCGAGCAAAGATCAAAGCACGCACGGCATCGACATGTGTACGTGGACTGGGCGCCCGAGCGATGGCAAGAGAGGGGGCGCGCAGGATTCCCTCGGGTGCAGGGAGCTTCCCTGCGCGAAGCCTCGCGAGGGGGGGGGCGCGGCCGAGGGAGGGAGCAGGGCTCGAGCTAAGCGCTGTTTTGGCAGTTTCGTGGGCCGTTTTCGTTTTTTGTCTGCGTTTTGCAGCAAGTGTGGAACGAAGGCAGAACCAGGGATGACGAAAAAACAAAACGGAAACGGAAAGCACCGTTTCACTCGAGCCCTGGGAGGGAGGGGGCGGCCGAGGGAGAGCGACCGAGAGGGCGCAGGATGGCTTTTGGCATCTCTTGGACGCCTGCGCCTTTGTTCGGCGGGGCCAGCGCCAGGAAGTCCGGACCATCTTGGAGCACTTTTCAGGCGGGGGAAAAACACACAGGCACAATGAATCGTTGATCCCCTAGAAAACATGGGAAAATATGGGAAGTGGGGGGGGAGGACAAAGACCCAGAAAAAATTGGGAAATAGGTTGGAATCTGGTCACTTGTGTCTGTTTATTTGTGTGTCCCAGTTCCCCTTCACTTTGAGCATTTTGAGAAACAAAGCACGCGCGAGGTGAAGCAGTGCGCGGGGAGTGGACGTCCGGGCGATGGTAAGATGGTCGGTCTGGACGACGAGCGGCGATAGGGAAAGGGAGCTGTGTGCGAAGGCCATGGCATGCACCCGGTTTCCGCCCCGCCGCCGGGCCCATTCCTCGACATCCGGGCGCCTGGAGGCGGCAGGAAGACTAGCTGCGTGACCTGCTTCTCTACCCTGCCCTCTGCTACGTATCCTGCCCTTCCGCCCCCCCCGTAGAGAGGGATCGGGGGTGGACAGAACCCCCACCATGACACGTCGATTAGTGAATTGGCCGGTTTCGGTTCTCGAGAGGGCGCCGCGACCGTCATTTTCCAGGCTTGCGCACGCCAGGTTAGGGCCCGTCGTCGTTTTCACTAAACCACGTTTTACTAAAGGGGCTTCTCTCCATCCCCGAAGGGAGCAGGAAGGTGCTCGAGCGCACAGCACAGACACCCTCCTGCCATCGCAGCGGCCCGTCCCGCGGGGCCCTTCGGGCGCTGGCCGGCCCAGGCCCCCGGGGCAGACCGCGGGGACCGCCGACCGAGCCACGAGGGCTGCTGGCACTTGGAGAGCGAAACTCCTGGTTCTGGACGCCCGAGATTCGGGTCGGGCGAAAGGGGGGGATAGCAAAGGGGGGGTTTGAGAATCAGCTCGCGTAGCTGATTTTCCCTGCGCCTCCCGGCGCCGGGAGGCGCCCACGTATCGAGGAATGGGCCCCTCGGTCAGGCCGAAACCAGCTGCATGCAGCATATTTCGTAACCCCCCCTTTCCCAAACCCCCCCTTTCGCCCGACCCGAGAGATGGGCACGGAAAGAGTGGGTACGATGTCCAGCAGCACTTCTTGCTCATTTTGAACAGGGTTCGCTGTCCGCGCCGCCGCGGCCTGTGTGTCCATTCGAGACAGAAGGCCGCCTGCCCAACAGCGGCCGCTGTTGGTTTGGGACAACATTTGCTGTTGGGCATTGCACCAATTTCTTCCGTACCCATTTCGGGCGTCCAAACTGGTGGATGGGCCGATTTCCCGCCACCAATACCACAGGTAGGACGGGGGAGAAGGGATGATGGGGAGGTCCTTCTCCTCCTCCTCCTCCTCCTCCTCATCCTCCTCCGCCTCCTCCTCCTCCGCCTGCTCTTCCTCCTCCGCCTCCTCCTCCCCCTCCTCCTCCTCCTCCTCCTCCTCCTCCGCCTCCGCCTCCTCCTCCTTCTCCTCCCTCTCCTACCTATGGTAGTGGTGGTGGAAAATCGGGCCATCACTGGTGGCCAGCCGGGAGGGCAGCGCGGGTCAGGGCTGGTCGGGGGCGGACAAGGGGGGTGATTTCCAGGAGGGGGGTATCACGGCCAGGGCCATGAGATCTCCCTGGATTTCATGGCGCCTCTTCTTCTTTCAACACGTCCTTTGGCCACCCCTGGGCCGCGCACTGCCTCGGGTCATGATTTGCGCCCCCCCCTCTTGGACGCTCCCGAGCTGGAGATGGGGTCACATCAAGCGGCAGCACTGAGAACGCAAATCTCCACGTTCGGTTCTGCCCTCACTTGGGGGGCCCTGGGCTCCGTAGACAGGGGCATAGCAAGCGGTGGTATGTGGGCAAGCCTGAGCCGCCGTTTTAAGCTATGCCACCGCTTGAGGGGCCCTGAGGGGGGCTGGGAGGGAGCGGCAAATCGGGTCCAGGATCGGGGAGCTCGCTCCCGAGCGTTCCGGCACGCCCTCGGAGCGTCCCGGAACGCTCTGAGCAGGCCGCGGCGCCCGATGCGCCCTTCAGAACCGCAGGATCTCTCAGCGCTTCCTCCTGCTTCGTCCCGGTCCGACCCCGTCCCGCTCCTGCCTGCGCTGCGGCGGGAGGCCTCGGGGAGGGAGGGCCCCCCCTGTGCGGGCAGGGGGAGGAAGGCCGGGCCAGCCTCTGCAGGCGGGGCGGGGCAGGCCAGGTCGCCCCGAGGGGCGCGAAGGCAGGCGCGCGGCGCGCGGCGCCCTGGCGCGGTGCGCGGAGGGGAGGTGGGCGAAAGGTGCAGAGGCCCCGCGGCGCGGCCCGGGAGAGCCGAGGCGGGGCGGCCGGGGGAGGGGACCCCGGGAGCTCGGCCCCGGAGCACAGGCCCGGGGTCAACGGCACCGTAACGGGTGCTTACTAACGGGTACTCTGAATGTTTGCCGAAAGTTGCCACTTTAGGGCCTTTGTCTTGCCTTGCAGTTTTGCCCACAGCGGGAAGGGTTGGGTTCGCTGGGTCACTGGCCAAAGTATACCCGTTAGTGGAGTCCCCGTTTGCGGGGTGCTGACGGGGCGGGATGGGAGGAGAAGAAGGAGAGGGGAAGAGTTATATCGGGCGTGTCCCCCTACAGGGGGATTTTCGACGAAAAATAGGAAATACCCCAAAGATACAAAAAGATGTCAAAAAGTAGTTCCCAGACTATGTCTGGACTATTGTTCGATTATTTGTGGGGTACTTGTATTTTTCGTCGAAGATCCCCCTGTAGGGGGACAGGCCCGACTTAATGGAAGAGAGGCGGAGAGAGAAGGAAAGAGCAGACAGAAGGAAGCGAGAGACTCAGGGGGTGGGCTTCCGAACGAGCGCGCCCAAGGGGGGGGCAGCTGAGAGGCGTAGCCCCCGGCCTTCGGCCGGGTCCCAGCGCTCCGAGAGGTTCGCTCGAGGAGGGCGTGCACGAAGAGGAAAATGCACGCCCTCGACATGAAAGGAGTCAAGCTGCTTGCGGCAGATCCCCTGCAGCATTGACACGCGTGCAAGGAAGTTGTACCGAGGCTTCCGAGCAGGCTCTAGAACTACCTCAGGGCTTTCCGAAGAGTGAAAGCAGCTCTACGATGTCGAGTGGCTTTCGGCCCATTCCCCCATTGTGCTTGGGTCGTTGTTCAGAGGCCTTCGAGAGGCCTTTCGGGGTCGATTGGGAGGATTCCTGGGGCCTATTGGAGGCTTACTTGGGGCGTCTCGAGGGACCGTGGGCTGTGGGCTCTAAATATAAATTCGCATTTCCCCTCGTACCCTCGTCTTCGAGGCCTCTTGGGGGACCAGCGATCTGGGGTGCCTATTGGGCCGTCCGGGGGCGCTCTCAGGAACGAGAAGCTGAGCAGGCGAAAGTCCTGCGAAGCATGTTGCTCTTCGACGACCCTGGCCCGCTGCGCGGGCGCCCCGGAGGCGTCCAAAACCGGCCCGGGGGGCCCCCGAGAGAGCGCCAGCACGGGCCTCGAGACCACCTTGGAGTATGCTCGAGGGCTGTGCGACCCCAGCCACGCTCCCGGGGCCTCCGACAAGGATCACGCGGGGGTGTTTGTGAGCGCGCAGGAGCGCCCGGGAGCGCCCGTGATTCGCGGGCCCGGCGAGCCAACACGCAGAGACCTCAGGAGTTTGAGAGCAATAGATTCGGTGCCTACGGCCTACAGCACGGTGGTCGACTGCAGCGTAAGCAGAAGCATGGGGATCCCACATGTTTCTCACATTGCTCTTAGCTTTGTAGGGCTTGGGCGATTTGGGGACTTCTTGTGTCGTCTTTGGGGCATATTGTGACTTCCTATGGTTTCGTTGGGCCGTATTGGCGAAGGGAAGGGGCATCCCTTCGACGTAAGTACGGCATTGTTCGATCCCCCGTATTTGTTCGATCTCCCTTGCGACGAGAACTGGCCTCGCCAGTTTGGGTTGGGCTGGCCTCGCGTCGCAGAGCGTCTCACACGCGCC